GCCTTACTCAAGGTATTTTCCTGGCACTGTGGCTGCAAGGCAAAGACTTTTGTTCTTCCCCTGCACCACCAGCAATGCATGTTCCAGCATCAGAGTAAAGAGCAGGATCTGAAACAAGTAAAATAGTGTCACTCAGAAACTGCAGGAGTGAAAAAATTTAGAGGGCTTCATTCTGCCTGTGAAGCTTTTGTGTAGACAGTGGAGGCTGGTGTGAAACATATCTGCATGAGACAGGTGAAAGGGGAACTTGATGCTTCTTAGAAGTCCTGTGGTTGAAGTTTTGTGAGATAGCTTTGTTTCAGGTGGTTTCAAAATGGGTGATAGAGATATGTGGTACTGGGCCAGTGCCCACCTGATGCAAAATAATTTCTGTGTGAGGATATGGTGGAGATGTGAGGAACCTCATCTCCTGCTGTTTACAGCTATCAGTCTACTCCTGCCGCTCTGAGTGACTTGCTAAAATAAACACAGCCTATGCTGGTTTATTCACTGCTCACAGACAGAACAAAAACTAATAGCTTGCGACACACCCTAATTTTCCAGGAAAATATGGCACCCTTAAAGCAAAAATACTGAATTTAAATGAGATTCACATCGGTCTGTTTTATTGACTTTGAGAGACAGATTCAGAAAAAGAGGATTACCAAGCTGAGACTAATAGCTACGTTCATCATACTTACACTACTTTACATTGTAAATAAGAATTCCATCGCCCCCGGGGGTGCTGGTTGACAGCTGGTTGAACATGAGCCAGCAGTGTGCCCAGGTGGCCAAGAAGGCCAGAGGCATCCTGGCCTCTATCAGGAATAGTGTGGCCAGCAGGAGCAGAAAGTGATTGTCCCCCCGTACTTGGCACTGGTGAGGCCACACCTTGGGTGCTGTGTTCAGATCTGGGCCCCTCACTACAAGAAAGACACTGAGGTGCAGGAGTGAGTCCAGGGAAGGGCAGTGGAACTGATGAAGGGTCTATAGAGCACATCCTAAAGGAGCAGCTGAGGGAGCTGGGGCTGTTTAGCTTGGAGAAAAGGAGGCTCAGGGGTGACTTTATCACCCTCTCCAACTACCTGAAAAGGAGGTTCTAGCCAGGTGGAGGTCAGACTCTTCCCCCAGGCAACTAGCGACAGGACAAGAGGAAATGGCCTCAAACTGTGCCAGGGGAGGTTCAGGTGGGACACTGGGAAGAATTTTTTCACTGAAAGGGTGGTTAAGCATAGGAACAGACTGCTGATCCAGGTGGTGGAGCCACTATCCCTAGAAGTATTCAAGAAACGACTGGATGTGACACCTAGTGCTGTGGTTTAGTTGGAATGGTGGTGTTCTGTCAAAGGTTGGACTCGATGAACTTGGAGGTCTTTTCCAACCTTAGTGACTACGATTCTGTCACCTGTAGGGGGGAAATAGTATTTAAACACGTCTTGCTTTATTGTATAGTGCCACCTAGGGGGTAAATGATTTTAAACTTTACAGTGGCAAAGGAGAGGGACCTCTATTATTAACAAAGTATATCTTACATTAAATCATTTGTCTTTTGGAATGTGGACAAACAAATTGCTGCTGAGATTTCCATACTGTGGAATCTGTCAAAAGAATTGTAACTTTCACAGTTCCCTCTGGAGCTGGCCATACTGTCTTCCATAGTCTGACAGTGATCGAAGGTGTCACAAATCCCGATTTTCTCCTCTACTAGCCAAGTCTTGCTCATATGATCAGTGGAGAGGTTATCTACCTCTCATCTACTGCTGCAAAGCTGGGTAGGAGATTGCTGTATTGCTGCTTTTGAGTCTCCAAGAACTTAAAGCAGAGCCTTTAAAAGTTTGCTGTGTGAGGCCAAAAACAGAGAGGAAACCCTGGCCTACTTCTACTTAATCTAGTCTGCTGAAGGAAGGTACTGTACAAAGCAGGAATGAGATGCTGGGACTACTCTCTGTCTGGGAGCAGCTTTGTTTTATTCCCCCTGAAACTTCCCCCCTCCCTCCACACATTCCAAATTGCATTTGGCTCCTTTGGGCTTCTTATGATTCAGCCTAGGAATGGGCAAAAGAAACTTAGAAAAATCTGCCTGTCTCTGTACCATATTTGTTTTCTTCAAAATGAGTTTTGGGTTAAAAGCCTGAATTGTGGTAATTTCTTGCCTGAAAAAACAAAATTCCGGGAGAGATAATATTTTAGAAGTGGGGTTCCCCCCCCATCCACACACACTTTTTTATTCTCTCAAATGGTATTTGATTTTATTCTGTGCCTTCCACAGCAGATGGCGTGCCTGCCTCCCTGAGTCCAGAGACCCCGAGCAGAATACAAATTATACATTCATGTAGGCAAGAAACCCACTCCCCTGTCCTAAGAGGAAGGTACTGATGCTACCACAATATTTTTGAAGGAAAAAAGTCAACATTTTTGATTGCATGACTGTATGTTTGAACGGCAATAAAGGGCAGGTGTCTCTTCCCTTCCTTTAGTACCCTCCACAACATAAACAATTAAGATTTGATTATTAGTAAGAAGGGAGGAAATACCTGATTTTATTTGTGTTAAGTTCCTTTTTAAAATCATACATACTGAAAAAAAAAGAAAAAAAGGCCAGCTGACACAAATGCTTTGTCTGTCTCTTAGAAATGGAAAAAAAAGAAATTATTTTGGAACTACAAGCCACAAACATGGCAAAATGATACAGGAAGATTTACCAAAGCTTGCTGTAAGTACCCCTCAGGTAAACAAGTCCTGTGGTAAAATCATGGCAAGATGGATAAAGCAAACTCTTACAACTGTCCTCTAGATGTCATGATGTAGACTAGAGAAACAGCTGGGTACCAGGGCTGCCACACTTGAAGCTAAATGAGTTTTGACAGGATTGTTAGAGAAAAGCTACAGTAGGGAATGGTAAATTCACAGTGGTGCCCATCCCAATGCGGAATGCTCCAGAACAAGCAGGCTACCACCCAGGTACTGGCAGTAAACACTGTACCAAGCCTAAGGGAGAGGGACACGTACATCCACATCAGGTCCACATGGGGCATTCCGGCTCTGTCACTCAAGGTGAATTTTTGGTGACTTTCTTGTTTTGATAAAAGTGAGAGAGAATATGCAGCTACACTTGTAACGCAGTGCTTTTGCCTCCTTAGGTTCTATTTCTTACCAAAACAGCATGGTTTTTACATATATGTGTACCTATAAATAAAATGACAACATAATAGCGGTGATAATAGAAGTTATTAAAAGCAATTTGGAATATTCAGAACTTAAGTTACAAAACGGAATCATACTGCTCTTCAAATTCTTGAAATAACCTTTTCAGAATCTTTCATTTCACGGGGCCTGGCTCATTAAAAGCTGGGGCCTAAAGGTGTTCAGAGCTGGTGTGTCTTAAAGTGTGTTTCTTTCTTTCCAGCTGTATTCCTCTGTTAAAGGAAGCGTCACCTACCCTTGCCTACAACCCTTACTTCTCTGAAGTAAACCTTTCAAGGTGCAGTCTGCCTGAGATAGTCTGGTCTTTCTTGACAAACATTATCTGCTGGCAGCAAGGCCAAAATCATGTAATGTAAAACCTGTAAATCAGAACTGAGTATATCTACACTTGTCACAAGTAGAAAAACAAGTCAGTGTTTAACAGGAATAAATGAAGAAGAGGCAGAGGAAGTCTTGGAGAAACACATTTGGAGAAATAATACAAGAAAGTGTTCCCATATTGAGAGGTGACAACATTGTGGAAGCAGTGTCCACACTGTGACACAGAGCAAGCACACAGAGGCTGGTGGCCAATTAAGGGTGATTGTCCCTGTGTCTCAGGAGCTTGACTCCAGGGGACAGAGGCACAGGAAGCCTTTTGGTGCCTGGCAGCGGACGCCCCGAGGCCCTTTCTAACCTCATCCCTCCTCCCATTGTATAGAGATGGGAGTTGAAAAGAGAACCCCCTGTCTGGCTCCTCTGCACTCATCCAGAGAGACCCTACCCAAGACACAGGCAAATACTTAACTGCTGTAGACAGTATATCCAAGTCATCACAGAATCAGTTAGGTTGGAAAAGATCTCCGAGATCATAGAGTCCAACCTGTGACTGAACACCACCGTATCAACCAGACCAAGGCACCAAGTGCCACGTCCAGTCATTTCTTGAACACCTCCAGGGATGGTGACTCCACCACCTGGAGCAGCAGCCTGTACCAGTGTTTAACCACCCTTTCAGGGAAGAAATTCTTCCTAATATCCAGCCTAAAACTCCCCTGACACAGCATATGACTATGTCCTCTTGACCTATTGTGACTGTCAGGGAAGAGAGACCTTCCTCAGGTCTCTGGTGCCCAAAAAGCCACGTAGGAAGGAATATAGGATGCAGATGCAGACACCGGGCCACCTTGTCACTTTATTATGGTGAGTATCTTTACAACACTTTAGTTAGTCAGACTGATAATCCACATAAACTAGTGAATATGTTGAAGGTTTCCTCATCACTACGTGGTGACACCTGATGGAAGCCCTCAGGTCACCATTACCAGCACGGGCGGCTCCAAAGGGAATCACGAAATCAAAGAATGGGCAGCGCTGGATGGGACCACAGTGGGTCACCTGGTCCAACTCCCCTCCTTGAGCAGGGCCATCCTAGAGTACATTGCACAGGATTGTACCCAGACAGCCCTTGAGTGTTTCCAGTGAGGGAGACTCCACAACCTCTCTGGGCAACCTGTTCCAGTGCTCAGTCACCCACACAGTAAAGAAGTTGCTCCTTTTCAGGGGGAAGTTCTCTTGCATCAGTTTCTGCCCGTTCCTATTGCCCTATTGCTGGGCACCACAGACAACAGCCTGGCTCCACCCTACTGGCACCCCCTTTTAGATATTTATATACATTGACGAGGATCCGGCACGCCCGAACGTGGCAGCAAGGACAAAGCCCGTCCGAGACAGCAGCCCAAGACGCTCCGTGCCGCCGCAGTCTTGCCCAGTGTCTCCTCCGGCCGCTCCCGGACCCCATGAGCCAACATGGCGGCCCCGCCCTCCCCGCTCCCCCCCCCGGCGTCCTGACGTCACGTCCGCGCTGCCCCGGTAACGACCGGACGTCGCGAGCGCGCCGGGAACCCGGAAGCGGCGGCGAATCGGTGCGGGCGGCGCATCGGCGGGGCGGGCCCGGCGCGCGCAGGGAGGCGGCGGCGGCGGCAAAGTAGTCCCGGGAGGGCAGCGGCCGGCTGTCGGCGGCGGTGGTTGGAGGTCGGTCAGCGCCTGTGGCGCAGCGCGGAGGGGACTCTCGGCAACTCCCGGCGCTCTCGGGCTGCGCGGTGGCGCACGGAGTGGCAGCGGAGATGGCGGCGGACAAGTCTGCGGGTGAGTGCGGGGGGAGCGGCGCGGCCCCGCCAGGCCCGTCCCGGGCCCGGGCCGCCCGCGCGGAGGGATACGCTCCCGCGCGGGGGGCGGTGAGCGGCGCGAGGAACTGCCGCTGGTCCTGCCGTGTGCTGTGCCCTTCCGCCGAGGAAATAGTGCCCCGCTGCCCGGGGCCGCGGTGGCCGCCGCGAGGGGCCCGTGTGACGCCGGCCGGGTCACCCGCCGGGCCCTCGGCAAGCGGCGCTCGGCGCTTGTCCTCTCCTGGCCTGGAAGGGCTCGGTGGCGAGCGTCCTATGGACTTGCTGGCGGAGGGGATGTTTTCCGGGGCTTAATAACCCCTGCAGAAGTCGAGCTTCTGGGTTAATTTGTTAAACTGGGGCAGGCGGAAGGTGCGAGAGAGATTATAACTCCTGGTGGTGCTGCTAGAGTTCAGGCAGATTCCCCCAGGGATGCTGCTTTGGTTCCAGGGCATGAGTGGGTTCTCACTGAACTCGGGCCTGAAAGGACCCTGTAGAGAGAAATCACCGAGATCACTAAAAAATAAGTCGTCATCTGGTAAACGGGCAAAATAAATTTCAAATGCAGTTGCTGTGTAACTCCCTAACACTGATAAGCTCCTGCTTGTCCCTCCCCCATAAGACTCCCCATCATGCACGAAGTCCTCGTTGCAGGAATGGTCCTTCCCTCAGATGGCAGCTCGGGCGGATTGGAGGAGAGGGCGATGTGGAGGAAAGCCTTACTTATGGAATTGCACAATTTTTCTTAACAGAACTGTAGAATATCCTTTGTTGGAAGGGACCCACAAGGATCATCGAAGTTCAGCTCCTGGTCCTACACAGGACCATCCCCAAGAGTCACACCATGTGTCTGAGAGCATTGTCCAAACATTTATTGAACTCTGACAGGCTTGTGTGGACTCTGACAGGTGCTGTGACCATGTCCCTGGGGACCCTGTTCTAGTGCCCGAACACCCTCTGGGTAAAAAAATCTTTTCCTGATATCCAGCCTAAACCTCCCCTTACGCAGCTTCATGCTGTTCCCTTGGGTCCTGTCAGTGGCCACCTGCATTCTTTGGGTTTTTTTCAGTTGGTTTTATGTGATGGGAGCATTATTTAAAATCACCTTAAGCATTTTTTTCTCTGGATGCTAAATATGAAGCGCCTCAGTATCTGGAAAATAATTATGGGAGTGATTAGTATACTGAGTGATGTTTACTAAACTATCGTGTATTTTCTAGGAACTGTAAGTGACTCCTAAACTACAAGAAAAAAATTGGCATTAATTTTTCAATATTTTTTCTTGCTGTTCTTTGAAGTGTTGAAGGAACTTTTCAGTTCCTTCAGAGATGTGAGCTAGGCAAGATGTTCTGCATGCTGTACTTGTTCATAACAGCAAGCTACAATTAGCTTTCCACTGAGATGTGTTTGCTTTTTATTGCACAGCACAAAAGAAGCCTATTATACCTATACTGGTAGTGAAGGGCTTCATACAAGAAGTCTTGTATAACTGTTATCTTGATAACAAACTGTTATCTTATAAAGGCTGGACACTGGCTGGTCTTCATACCTTTCAAAATGCTTTTGGAGCAAGAGTCATGTGATAGATTCCTTACCTTTCAAGAAAGAGATTATCCCCCTGCCTGTAGAGTTTGGAAGTAAAAAATAATTCCAGAGATACTCTGGTGTTCAACAGCACAGTTCATGCAAGATGTAATTTACAGGGCGTAGGAACAAGAGAGCTCAGGAACAGCAGTCCTTGGAGAAACGGAGAGCAGGTATGAGAAGGATAATGATTGCAGTCACTCTCAGGTGTCTTCAGGTATGTGTATGTGGGAGATGTGACTTCTTGTTGCTTTTATGATCTTGTGGCAGGAAGCCCATGAGGAGAGCAATCTCCCGTGTCAGGTGGCAGTCTCATGCTTTTCCTTGTTCTCCTCTCATAGAGCCAATTTTCCCGAAGTTCTGCTGTCCACCATGATGTGTCTTCTCCAGTAGGAGCAGCTGCCTCCTCGTGCAAAGCAAACCAGCCTCCGTGACATAGTGTTTCTGCTCCTCAGCCCCAGGATCAATAGCTAGGAAGATAATTCCCTGGCTTGATTCTTTTACTTCCAGCTCAGTTCAGCAGCTTCCTCCAGATCAGAATCCAAGTGGTTGATTTTTACATACTTTTCCAGGTTACCCTTTTTTTGCCCCTCATCACGAGCCTGACAGGTTTTAGTTTTGGAGTTGTTCTGCGCTCATGAAGGTTGGACAAGTGCAAAGTTAAACAAACAGGCCCGTCTGTTAATACAATTTACAGAGACAAATCAAGTCCTGTCATTTGTGAAGCGGAGACTCCGCACAGTTCTGGATATTTCAGCTGATAGTTGTAGCTGCTGTGCGGATGGGAGCGTGTCAGAGGTACCTGGTGTGCTGAGTGTTACCCACACCAGGTGCCTCTGTGAGGACACCAGATGTGTCTAGATCAGAGCAAGCAAGTGGCGTGCTGTACGTTTTGCCAGGGAACAATTTTCCTACCTGTTCCACTTTGAAATGCCTCAAGGAATATGGAAGTAATAGTTTTGTTTGCAAGCACTGGGGTAGCCATTTGCAGCCAAGAGGAGTACTTCCTCACCCCCCCTCCTAGGTGGAATTGGTGGATTCTGTTCAGTATCTTGTGCCAGCTTTCAGGTGACTCCTGTTGGAAGGATCTCATGCTAATAAAGATGAACTGAAGCAGTAGATCCCAGGCTAAACAAGAATGTCAGTATTACATTAGACTGCAATGACTTTTAAGTCTTTAACAGGTTTCAAATGTGTTTATGCAAAAAGGGCAGAGAGTATCCAAAGCATTTTTTTCCAAAGGACAGAACTATGCTGTGAACTAAGTCAGCTGGACTTTAGTTTTATTTTCTTGATAAGCTTCCAGTTCAGGTTTCACAAACCTGCTTTGTTTACTGAGTGGTAGTAGGTGTGATTGATAGGATTACAGCCATACAACTGACTTTATAGGAGAAGGGACAGCTCTGGTTTTCCTTAAAGGAGGAGTTTTTTTAGTGTAGCAGCAGGCTAACAGACACAGTGAAATCTGAAGACTTGTCCTGATTTTTCCCTAGGAAATACATAAAACAGCTCTGTAAGTGGTGCTTTTATTACAGACCTTAGACAAGTGTCTCTTGGTTTACCTGTCACTTAACTGAAGACATTTGACTTCAGGATTCAGACTTCACTTGAGATGCTGGTTTTACGGACCTGCATACAGTGGCAGTAATCAGTAATGCACTTCGTAGTTGATGGCTCTCTGTTAGGTAAACTTGTATGTGAGGAACCTATTGGTCAGACTGAGTGTTATCAGCTTCCAAAGTTTTGGAGTCCCAAGGCTCTGCACTGTGTTTACCTTTATTAGCACAATGTCAAAGTCATGCTGAGCAAGTAAAGCAGATATTGCCACTGTTAGTGTGAAAGTTTGGAGGAAGTTGCATTTGCTTATTTGCTGCTGTTCTAGACATCCTTGGAGGGAGAAAGCTTTCTGTTCATCTCTATAACCATAAGGTTTAGAACGGGAATTAGATCTATGCTATATTTAGCTCGAAGGAGAGGTGCTTCTTGTTCCTTTCCTTTTTTTCTGCAGAAAGCCTTTGGCACATCAGAAATTTTCTGAGCTTTTTTGTGTTTTAAATTTCTCTTCTGCCTTTCCCTTTCAAGGAGAAGGCAGAGCAAGTGATGTTGATCAATGCTTATGCAGTCAGATTTTATAGGAGGTGTAGGCCCCTGGGGGTCCATCCCTCCAGAGTACTGAAGTTGCTGAATCCTGAATTTTGTCTAAATCACAGTGGGTCATGCTTGCAGTTGTAAGGTAGCTGAGATTTTAAAATCTCAGCTTTGTTGACGTCATGATGAAGGATGAAAGTCACAACCAATTTGCGGTTCTCGCTCAAATATGTTATTGCAGAGGGCAGTGAAAGGGATGTCACCATCTTCCCAGCAACAGGCACAAACTTGATAGGTTAGTAAGTCTGTTTTATGCTTACTATGGATTTTAATTGAGGAATCTTTTGAGTTTTGGCTGCCCTTTACTGCTGTTGTTTGTCCTATATTTGTAAATTTTCCTAGTCGCTAGTAGGTGATCCAGATATATTGGTGATGATGGGGAATGGATTTTGCAGAGGAGCTTATAACAAAGTGTTTTCATTTGTTCAAAGTCAAAACAAAATTAGCAGAGTTTGCACTATGTCTCTGAATTCTAGGGAAGAGAAAGAAGGCTTTGAGTTTGCAAAGCATACCTAGCCTGATAAGATAGCAGAAGGTAGGTTGGAGCGAATCTTCCACTGTGAAATTCAAGAAATAATTTTCTGCAAAAGTGGAAATCATTGCAGGTTTATAAAGTCTTTGTTTCAAAAACATTAAATGATTTTTGTATGTTCTGGCACATTGGTAAACACTTTTAGAAATAATCTGTCTGATGTGGTGGTTGTGTGGTTGGGTTTCTTTCCTCCAGTAGTTTGTGTTCAGCACAAGGAAGGGCTTAGTGATTTGGGGGTTTTTTTCAGCTTTTTTGACATGGAATGTCCTTACTGTGCTTTTTAATGCAACTTCAGTGAATTCCTAATTACATGATGACAAAAGGATTTAGTTGACTTCTTTCTGGAAAATATGCTCAATGGTGACTGAGACAAACTATTAGGAATTCTATTAAAAGAAATTGAAGATAGTTATAACCTTATTACATTGCTATATAAATACATAAAGGGTCCACCATTATAACTGCTGCAGGTTGTTCTTGTCTTAATCTGGAAAAGGATATAGTAGAACTGGAAGAGATTCTGAGAAAAAGAAAATGTGAGGAAGATGCAGAATAAACTACTCCTGCTCACCTTGAAAGAGAGATGATTCAAAGAAAGTTCTGTAAGATTTGGAGTGAGGATGACAGAGTGAATAGGCAGCATTTGCTTGTGCCTTGCAGTATGATCGCCAGACAGCACTGGATGGAATATACTGAAGAGTACATAAGTACACAGAGTTTTCTTAAATAATATATCAGGTCTGTCAATGACTATTAACAATGATGGTTCTATTGCAGCCTCTTCTTTAGGGAGATACTTTTCCAAAGCAGGGAGCTGTGTGGAAGTTCCAGTGTTTATTTGGTTTTTGTTGATCCCTAGAGCATCCCTTGCTTGCTGTTTAGGAAGCAGCATACAGGATGCATGGGTTTTTCATCTCTCCCAGCGGGGTACCTATTTTATGATGCTTGGCCTTCACTGCTGGTTTTTGAGCAAAATAAGACAATCCTGGTGTATAGTTGCAGCTTTAAAGAGAAATCTAAGATGTATGGATTGTCAGTTAACTTGCAGGAGTTTGGTTATTGATTGAGCACAGTAATTTCCATTTTATGGAGAGGAATTCACTAGTATAGAGTAATGTGGGATACTGTAGTAGGGGTTGTAACTTGGGCTATAGATAGTGTAGTAGGGAGACTGCTGCTGTTATCTGGAAAATTACTTGTACTGGCAGGAGGGTCTTGAGAACTGGAAGAAGCAAAATGTTTAAGCTGCATAGCTGTCATCAGACTTGCAAACTTTCTTGTAATCTTCTGTCCACTTCACAGATCAAGGTACTGAGAAACATGAAGGAGCGGGTACTTCTGGGATTACTGATCAGGAGAAGGAATTGTCGAGCAGTGCATTGCAAGCTTTTCAGGTGAGACAAAGCCAAACTCTGAGACTTCTAATTTACCACATAACTGCTAAATGGGCTTAAATAATTGTTTTTGCTGTTTTCTTAATACAACTGCAAATGCATCAAGAGAATATTATATCAAAAGTAGCACTAGTTGTGTTGTAAAACCAGCACATGCGTTTTCTGTGTGATGTGATGTGAGAAGACTGAACGGGATACTTGAATAAGAGCATGTTTAATCTTGATTCTAAAAACTCAGTAACCTTAAAAACTATATGATGATTTAGTTAGAAGAAGCAGACTGCTGTTCTATGTCAGCATTGGAAATACATGATCTCTCTGAAGCATTAATCATTTCAAGCTAAAAATGTTGTGTTTAAGGGTCTAAAGGAACCACATGTATTTAAAAAACAGGTAGGAAGCAAACCTTTTTGTGTTTTAGCATCATTCTTCCACAAAAAGCATTATATACTGCTCTGTCACTTGGCATTAAAATATATTCTTCAATGCATAACACCAATAGGCAGTATTTACTGCCTGTTTTGTGTTTCTCAGAAGATTTTTTGGTGTGTGTTAAAATTCAGGTACCAGGACTTCCAGTTTATTTCTTTCCTTGTATTGCCTCCTAATTTTATTTAGTGTGACAGAAAGTATCATTGCTTTTCCTTTCAATTGTTGTGTCTCTGTCTCCAAAATGCCTCGTGTTTATTCAGTTTTGGATGTGTGAAATAAACTCTGGGGCAGAATTTAAATGCTCTCTTTTGAGATTCCTGCTCGTATGTGTCACTCAGTACTTTAATTTTGTCTGGAATGTTGTTATGTGAAGTGCATGCAGTTGGCCCTTAAACTGACTGCAGCTGATATTGTTCACCAGTGTCTTCTTGAATGCTGTCTAGCTCAGTTATTCTTTTTCAATAATGTTTTTATCCCTGCCATTTGATCCTAAGAACTGAAGGCACATGAAAGAGTAGTTTGTTTTCCACCTTGCCCACAAATCTACATGCCTAAAATACTTTTGATCTACTAACAACTTCATCTTTACTGGTCCAGCATACCTGGTCTATCTCATGATGTTTTTCTTGCTTTAAGAACTCCCTAAATTCATGGAGCTCTGAGACAGCAACAGATGAGAGCAGAATTAATCTGATGCCTTGTTTGCCAATTTTCTTGCTGCTGAGTAGCTGTAAATAGCATTGTGGACTGTCTTGCATGCTGCTTTATCGTATTACACCTCTGATTTCAGTCTTGATAGAATTCTCATAAAATTGGTTATTGTAGTCTAGATCTTGTCTAGTAGAGGGGCATAAAGGAGTCTTAGCTGTTTAAAAAAATCACAAAATAAGCTGAGCATTCAGAGGTTCAAGATTTGTAGTCCGCCATGATTCGAAGCCTTGTTGCTGTGATCTGAAAGCTACTCTTGGTTAAGAGAAGCTCATAGTGTGAGCATGGGAAGAGAATCACTGGGAGATGAACTGTCTCAATTTAAGAACACACCAGCAGTTGAGTTCCAAGTCCCCGTGTTTGTGCACGTGATCATTGGGCAGTCCATGCTGCTGGTCCTTAGAGCTGTGAAAATGCGTGCCAAGGTTCTGCTGCAGCTCTCTCTAAGTTGTATGACTGTGCTTTCATGGGAGACTGAAGGAACTGCAGTGATTCCATTGAGAGTAACTGCAGAATGGCAATTTTCTTGGGAAGAGGAGAAGGACCCCGGAGCCATTCTCTGTGTTATTCTTTCCTTAAAAGAGGAAGTTAATCAGGAGCCCAGGAGAACCTCCGTGGAACAGAAGTTAAAAAGGAGGAGCAAGTGGAGGGTGGTTATGGTACTTGAGAGCTTAGCTTTTGGTTATGAACCACTGACAGAGATGGAAATGAATCTGCTTATCTGTCTGGCCAGACTGGAGGTAACCCTGATATGGAAGAGCTGAATGTGATTATTACTGTGTAGGAATTGAGCAGTTCAGAGTGAAGCGTCATTTAGGCTTAATGTAGTTGAAAGAGTCAGGAATTCTCTTTCATTCCTTGATGCCACTAAATTCCTCCTGTACCAACACAGAGAAGACCAAAACTGAAAGCAGGCAGAGGTGAGCCTTTCTGAAGTCTTTGTTTATTCCTGAGGTCAAAGAAAGGGATTTTTCGATTAAATCACACATCAGCAGAGCATCATGCTTGGCTCCTAGTTTCTGTTTAGGCATGCCATGCTTCATCCAGCAGCTAAAGCTTGTAAAAATGTTTTTTAAACCTGTACTGGGAAAGTGACAGCCTCTTTTTCCAACCTGTCTTAAGCTGACTTACATCGATTAAATTGTAACTCGCTGTATATCCAGATGAAGTGAAGGATGAACATAAAATGTTGGGCTAGAACTTGTGTAAGCAACTGCAGCTACTCAGTGTTCACATAATGGGGAAAGATTTATGAAAACTGAGTATTGAAAGTTAACAATTTTCATGGAAACGTCTTTTTATAATAACCAACTACATAATTTGTCCTTCCTCCGCAAAATTATTTTCGAAGTTTGGATATGGCTTCAATGTTTAGATTTAGTTCTCATGCATGTTAATCTGCATAAATAATGAAGTGTGTGTTTAGACATTTAGTTGACTTCACTTGCTATTGATAAGGGAAACACTTTGTATCTTCTAATGCATGTTTCTGGTATGTGTGCAATTTCCAGGCTGGAAACTATGATGCTTGCTTACAACACCTAAATACCCTTCAAGACATCAACAAAGATGACTACAAAATAACTTTGAATACTGCTGTTGCAGAATTCTGTAAAAGTAACCAGACTACGACAGACAATTTGAGACAAACCCTTAACCAGCTGAAAAACCAGGTAATGTGAGCATATTGACATGGTATTTGATTTTGAGTACCCCTAATGGTGGTGAAATCTTTCATGAAATAGGAGTAAAACTTATGCTCCCTTGTGCCTTGGATTTAATAAAAGAATAAGAAAGTAACTTTACTTTTAAACACCTGAGTCAGTTTAATCTTTTATAACATATTTCATAGTTATGTTTTTAGTTGTTGTTGCAATTGATATGAGATTATAATCATAGAAAGACCTGCTGTGTTCTTTCAGTAGAAAGTTCCTTAGCCTGGAGTAGTTTGTGAAATAATTAAAAAGTGAAAATATTATTTTACTACTCAGTTGACAGCTTTCTGTCTGTTTGTATATTTTTTTGCTGTGTTTATGTGCAACAACAATAAAGTTTATTACATTATAACTCTTACATATATTTGGAGAAATTCATTGCTTTGGATCTTTTTTTTTTTAAATATCTGATGCTTTAAAATCACAGGTACTGAAAATTTTTAGTGAAATGAGTGGCATTTTTTTTCAGGTTCACTCTGTTGTTGAAGAAATGGATGGTTTGGATGACGTTGAAAACAGTATGCTGTACTACAATCAGGCTGTTATTCTGTATCATCTGCGTCAGTATACTGAAGCTATATCAGTTGGGGAGAAGCTGTACCAGTTTATAGAGCCTTTTGGTATGTAGACAGAAGAGTTTTGTTCATGCAATAACTACAGAAAGATCATTCAGTCTTTCTCACTGTCAGACAAGTGATTTTTTCTTTTATTTGCCTAATAAAGTTTTAAAAATGTAGATAGGGTTTGGAATGACAAATGTTTTACTTATATCAAGGACAACAACTAAATCTGGGGGGAAGGTACTTCAGAGACTTTTAGCAGACAAGTATAAGGGAACTGAAATGGATTTTTTTGCAACTTGAAAAGGTATTTATGTAAACGATATGTACAAACTAATGAAATTATTTTAAATCTAGTATTTTGAGTCATCATGGGTTGGTGTCTATTTTTCAGGGGGCTCACATTTTTAGATACCTGCACTAGGTCATACATAATTGTATGTGTTCTTATGAATATATATATAAAGTCTGCAGCTTTTATGAGCTATGATACCTTGTGTAGTAGAATTGCCATAGTTGTATGAAATAATTTCACAATCCCTGTTGAATTTTAGAAGCAAGAAGGCTGAAGGATGTGTGTGTGTATCAGTAAATTAAGTAAATGCTATTGTGTTTCTCCTTCAGTTCCTCACAGTTTCCAATATGCATAATTGGAACTTACTCTGTGAAGTCAGATGTATTTGTACAGAATCTTTTCAAGTTCTGTGGGATCCTGCATTTGCAGAATCTCTCTGTTCAGATGCTACATCTTTGGTGCTGATGTGCTTAGATCAATTCTCAGCATCTAAGAACATGAAATACTTGTTAAGCTGTCTTTATGCTTCTATGCTGATGCCATTTGAATGAATGAGCTTTCTTTTCAGTTTACATACCTATCTATGTGTTTCACTATATATATTTATCTAGATGGCTACATTTTTTTTCTTATGTAACATATTGATTTTTCTCATAATGTTGCATAAATGCGCTTTATAGTAAGTTTTTTTTCTTGATCATGTTTGGAAGGATTAGTATTAGAGCTGTAAAATCATTTTTACTTCTTTGCTTTATACAGAAGAGAAGTTTGCCCAGGCTGTGTGCTTCTTGCTTGTAGACTTATACCTGTTAACTTACCAAGCTGAGAAAGCCTTGCATCTTCTTGCTGTTCTGGAAAAAATGATTTCACAGGGCAACAATAACAGCAAGAATGGAAAAAATGAGGTAAGCTTAAAATGATATGAATGCCACTAAAACTTTACCAGAAGTATGCTTTAACTCAATCCAAAGTTAGTCTTCTAAAATACATCTGGATTTTAAAACTCTGGTAGATCACCTGTAGCTTTAGACCCCAACTTAGACATGTTAATAACTGAGTTAATTGTGTACAGCAGTTGTTTGTTCCTTCTCTTTCACCCTTTTGCACTGAGGGAGCTAAGATGTCTTTGAGTCAGAGACTGGCATTGGAAAGACAGTTGTCTTCAGGGTCAAATATACATAGCTTTCCTTGTTTGTCTTGGATTATGACCATATGAGAGCCTAAATTTGAGAGGGAAGGGTCAGTGTCAGAGAGACTTTGCAACTGTGTAGCATGGGATGGGAAATCAAGTATCTCTCTTACATAGTATCTGAAAGTATGAGGCATACTTTCAAGTGAAATCCTTTACGTGTCTTTTGGAAAAATCAATAGAATCAGTAGTGGCTTGGAAGCGAGAAGGGGACACTTCAGTCTTTTCCTGTTGATGGAATGCCACAGTTAAGATAAAATATTTTAAGTATATAGTAATTCTGCTGAAGGAATTAAAGAGGTACTCTAGAATGTGCAAATCATCCTTCTGGGTAAAAGAGTTCTTCTCAGCTGCAAAGCAACGTCATGTAACACTAATCTTGATACAGAATTCTGCTCTTCATAGGCTGGTGTGGTTGTTTGTGGAGTTTGATTGTTTAAGCTCAAGTTATAATTTTTGGTGGTATGTGTATATTTTGGTGTTAAATACTTTGAAATACTATTAAATACATATTTTTCTTCATGTGAGTTGAATCTGTCAACTGAAAAAGGTGATTAACAGTAACAGTTCCTTTTTTTTTTTTGACAGTCAGGTAATAATACAAATAAAGATTCCTCGAATCAGAAAGCTGAAAGTGGAGCTTTAATAGAAGTTGCTAAATCTAAGATACATCAGGTTAGTGTCTGCATGTTATTTATACAAGAACATTATTTCAAAGTTTTTTTTTAAAACCAAGTCCCATCTCCTTCAAATCTAGTTCAGCATGAATTGGGATACCCTGTCTATCCTTGTTGTGAAACAAAGGAATGAATTTATATAATTCCTCTGTTTGTGTAAGATCCATGTACAGGAAAAACTGACCTAATGCACAACCCCCTCCCCCATTTCAGTCCCTGCAGTTTATAAAAATTCCTTTAAACTGCAGTTGGCTGCACTGACTTTATACCTGTTAGACCTTCAACAGTCTAAATCAGCTGATGTTTTATTTCATTTTACTGTTCTGTTGAAAAACGTGAAGAAACAGAATGCTTCTCTATCAGCACTCACTTACTGGTACTTTCAGTTTAGTAGGTAAAGGTCTGGGGATTAAGAGGTTAGATTATTTTAATTAGTTTGTCATTTTAAGTGCTAGTATCTGTTTGAATACAGAGTAGCTGTTGACCATTGAACAAAATGTTCATCTGCTTATTGTTAGTAGGTCTATAAATGTGCTGTCTAAAATCTGAATAGAATTTCTTTTTTATGAAGTCTTTTTGGTCAACTTTTTACTACCCAAAGTTGTATGTAAAACATTCCATAGTAAATCCCTACATACAGGTCATCTTGTAAACCTGCACAAGTTATTGTATATTATTTAACAAATTTAATTTTTTAATAGTATAAGGTGAGAGCCTATATCCAAATGAAGTCACTAAAAGCATGCAAAAGAGAGATCAAGTCTGTTATGAATACAGCTGGGAATGTAAGTATTCTTAAGACTATTGTTTTTCAAATCTAGATCTGTTCTTTATCTTAAAACTGAATTTGCTAATGTTCTTTACCAAAAAAAAGATCTTTTTTAGGGTAGATGTCTGAAGCAATGCTTTATGCAGTGAGTTAGGTTTGTAATCTCTTTTTGCAGGTGTAATTAATGTAGAATTTTCTTATTTGAGCTGTTTTCAGTTGCTAAAAAATGCCCTGCATTGTTTATGATACAAAAATAACAGTGAAACAGTGTGTAATGAACATGTTCAACTTGCTTTTTAGTTGAAACAGCACAAAATAGGTTTTAGTTTACTGTAGGTGTTTTGGTTATTACAAACTTTGGTGTCATTGGTGGTTTAAACCGATTCATAAAAGATTAATTCTGGGTTATACGCAAAGCATTTCCCTTTTGTTGCCAGTTTCAACAAGTGCTAGTTTAACAGAAATCCTTCTGGATCATGAGGTCTCTGTTGGCAGACCAGAAGGATTACAGTCCAGGAGTAACTGCAGGGAGGGAAGTGTGGGGAGGAATGTACTAGAAGACAGGTTGAAGAAAGTTTGGAGATCCTCTGCATTTAGCCATTGCCATGACAGAGTTCTCTAGAATAACACTGAGTTTGAGAACAGGCATAAAGAGTACATACACGTAGTTTGGGAATTCAGAGGTGGCTGTTAATCATGTGCTCAACAAAGAAATGCTCCTTCTTGAAAGCAATTGGGCCTAAGCCCATTTATTTTTAAAACGGCAGCAGAGGCAAGCTGTTTGTGAAGTGATTTAACACTAGCAATGGAAACTATAAACCAAAACAGAACTAACTGTTGTTTTTTTCCTTCACAGTCAGCTCCTTCTCTCTTTCTTAAGAGCAATTTTGAATATTTGAGAGGCAATTATCGTAAAGCTGTCAAACTTTTAAACAGTGCAAACATTGCTGAACATCCAGGCTTCATGAAAACAGGTAAAATAGAAACCCTTCATCCTACAAGTGCTTAAATGTGTAGTATAATAGGACTACTTGTTGATATAGAATTCAAGCATATTAATGATTACTTAATTGAGTAGGCCCTGAATGTCATGGATTTATATGCTGGATATGTTTTCAACACTGTGGTGTTCTTCACTGAATGTTCTTGTAAACAATGCTGTGATTGTCTATGAAAATGGATTTGTGAAGGTGTAATATTTTCAAGGTTCATGACTGAGTCTCTAAAGCAAGAAATGAAACAAAAGGCAACTTAGTAGATCTAGAATTGAGATCTCAGGTTGTACTTGGAGAGGAGACTGTAGCAGTTGTAATGATGACTGTGGGGGAAATGTAGTTGTTTCATGAAGTGTTAAAGTTTGGCTTCTATTGTATGTGACTTTAAATTACTTTTATCTCTAGAAAGTATATATGTGTGGACATGCTCAGAAACAGAACAGCATGTAAACGTGTGATTTTTTGGACATAAAAGTTATTTGTTCACTATAGGTATATCCTTTGTAGATATACGCTCACCGTATACAATACTTAAATATATTTGAGAATTATTTGACAGTTTAAAACTTCAGTAAAAGTTTTACTGCTGTAAAACTAACTGAATTTCTTTTCTACTTTGTTCAATGCTGGTTTTGTGATAGTACTCTTAATTTCTTGTCCTGTAAGACTTTTTTTTTTACCTAGTAGATATTGGTGCATAAGTTACTGTTAGATGATAGAAGTTTGAGTTGACCCTCTCAGTAAATTGTTTAAACTTCTGTATTTTACAGATAAGTTTCATAGAAAACATTCAAAAAATTTGCCATAATGCCTATTTGCACAGTAGAATGTTCACTTAATAATCTTCCTACGTTTTGACTAAAATAACATCTCTTGAATTTGTTAATGATCTGTTTCTTGGTTATTTGGATTTTTAGGGTGAGTTTTTTTCTTTATTTATTTATTATCAATGGTAACCCTTTAAAGACTCAGTTACCAGCAGTTAAGTTTAAAGTTTAAATTTTTGTCCTTTATTATTTAGAAGGAACCTTTTACAGTGTTACCTGAACGTGATATTTTTAGGAAGGGCATATTTGTGTGGTTGGGTTGGCTTATTTGTTCATTTTATAAAACTTAGGCAGGTAACATTACTTGAGAATTTTGCTTTTACAAGAGTCATCTGTTAGAAAACTTGAAGTGCTTGCTTGCTAATTCCTATGGAAACCTCCAGGTGAATTCACTTCAACTTGCAGTCTGTCAAATTGGCTTTATGTCTGGCTATCCTGGAATATGGTGCACAAGATCTGGAAAGCTGTGCCTGCCTACATATAGGTCAGCTGTCCAAGAGAACTAGAATGATGTGCAGAAATGTATGTTATTAAAGCAGATTTGAGACAGGGATGTAATTCCTTAATCCATGAACGTCTCACTGAAGAACATGTTTAATAATAATATGCTGACCCATGAGAGAGTGGTTGGAGCATTTCATGGGCTCAGCAACAATTTTCAGTTTCTGGAAATGGTCTTCGCTTGTTCTCTCAGGTGAATGCCTAAGGTGTATGTTCTGGAACAATCTTGGCTGCATCCACTTTGCAATGGGAAAGCACAATTTAGGAATTTTTTACTTTAAAAAAGCCTTGCAAGAAAATGATAATGCGTGTGCACAGCTGGGAACGGGCAGCTCAGATCCAGGTAAGGAAGAGATTATAGTAAGTGGTGGAAGATGGGTGGGTGAGTCAAGAAAAAAGAGGGTAAAGGTTTCAGTAGTTATCAGCAAAATTTGTGTTCCTTCTCTTTGTGGAGGACAGTAGGGTGAGAATTTTGATGATAACATGATTTCAGAATATAGTTGCTGTTTCCAGAAATATATGATGATGATGATAGTAAAATATGTTCTTTTTTTTTCCCCTGTTTTCCTTGATGTACCTTGGAGGGGCTGGGACAAACTACATCTCTCTCATTTATAGACTTGGACAATAAGTTAGGGAGGAATTACAAAATAAAGTTTTTGTGACGTATTTGTAGTCCTGCTGACTGGGTAGAATCATCAGGGCATGAAAGATGTGTGGGGTTTTGGTGTGTTTTGGTGTGGTTTTTTTTAACAGGGAAGATACAGAAAATGTGGAGTATAATACTGTCAAATTAGCATTTTGAAGATGATGTTTTTCCCAGACTTTCCTACTGAATAATACCTGGACTTGTATGAGAAATGTTTATTGTTTAGTTTTATGGGTACTTTTGTCCATCAGCTTTTGTTGTAAGGATACAAAAGCAAGAAAATAAACATAAGTTTTCTTGCTTTGATTAATAATACTTAAGTTTGTTTTTCTTTTCCAAGTAAACGATTTCATAAAATCATAGAATGGTTTGGGTTGAAAGGTACCTTAAAGAACATGTTTTTCCAACCTCCCTGCCGTGGGCAGGGATACCTTCCACTAGATCAGTTTGGTCAAAGCTCTGTCCAACCTGGCCGTGAGCACCTCCAAAGATGGGGCACCCACAGCTTCTCTGAGCAACTTGTTACAGTGTTTCAACACTCTCACAATAAAGATTTTCTTCTTAATATCTAATCTAAACCCACCCTCTTGTCAGTTTAAAGGCATTCCCCCTTGTCCTATCATTCCATGCCATTGTAAAAAGTCCCTCTCAAGCTCTCTTGAAGCCTCTTTTAGGCACTGGAGGGTCTTCCCACAGCCTTCTTTTCCCCAGGCTGAATAACCCCAGTTCTCCCAGCCTCTCTCATGGGAGAGGTGCTCCAGCCCTCTGATCATCTTCATGGTCCACCAGTTCATGCCCTGCTGTGTTGTCCCTTCAACAGGTGGCAGAACCACGGCCTGTGAATGTGAGGCTGCTCCTGTCTGACTATAGAGGGCCTCACCACTCAGTCTTCATCATTTCATGATCCAGTTATAACTTTTTTCATTTCTTGTTTTCTTTAAAATCTGCTTACTATCATGCATTTCATTATTTTTCCTGTTCCTCCCCTGAACCTAAGTGCAGCCTTAGGTATCAGTGTGAAGACAGAAAATGTTTCATGCTTGTTAACAGCAAAGTCCTCTTCTGGAATTTCTATGGGTAACAGAGATGTGTATTCTCACGTATCTGGGGTTCAGTGTTATTTTGTAACATTTAGCTTGAGTGAAAAGGAACATTCATGGTTAGCATTTAATGTACTTTTCGGTAACAATATAATTAATTTATCTTTGATACCAGTTTTGATGTGAAAGGAATTTATTTACGGAGGGAGCCTAGGGAATTTCTGCAATGAAAGGGGTTTTTCGTAGTTTTGGGGTGTTTCCCACTGCTTCCCTCTTCCTCTCAGAGTTATATTTTCTGCTCTTCTGAGCTGCACATCCGATATGATGTAATCCTTTTCTGCAGGTAAAAAATTTTCAGGGAGACCCATGTGTACACTGCTGACTAACAAACGGTATGAGTTGCTCTACAATTGCGGAATTCAGCTCTTGCATATTGGGAGGCCCTTAGCTGCCTTTGAGTGCCTGATTGAGGCAGTCCAGGTGTATCACTCGAACCCTCGTCTGTGGCTGAGAATAGCAGAATGCTGCATTGCTGCCAATAAAGGGGTAAGTAGCTTTGCAAACTTCTTCTGCAGGCAAAGTTGGTAGAAACCTGCTGATGGCAGCGTACTGTGTGTTCTCTGGGGCATCTTGGTTTCAAGTCTGTTTAGGATAAACCCATATGTTAAAATTCAGAGAAGTGGGGACAGGATTGTTTGCTCTAAGAAGAGAAAACTGCACTGAAACAGCATGTCTGTAATTCACCCCTTACGTGTGGGGGAGTGAGGTTGTAATCTGTAATTGCGTGATCCTATGAAGTTATTTCCACGATATGCCCATCTCACTCACTGCACAGGATGTGTGACATTAATTGAACAAATACCAAAATTGAATAAATACCTATTGAATAAATATCACTCTTATTTTCTCCCACCCCCTGAATTCTGTTTTCCTTCTCTGGGCGGTCTCTTTGCATTTATTTACTGCACACTATCAAAATCCTTCCAGATACAAAATTCGTAACTCCTCCCTTGGGAATTTCAAAGGTACTCATTATTTTGGTATCTCTGTTTCAGAAAATTTAGGAAAGATACAACTTTATAGCTTGATAGTAGAGATTTGCTTATACCCCCACTTCACAGGCCCAGCACTGAAGTTTCAAGAGCGTTGGGTCAAAAATGGGCTAACTTTGATTGTACATGTGCTAGCTGTAGTCAGATTGCTCGAGTTTTATAAAGTACAGCAAATGCAGGAAGAACAGCTTTCTTCATGCACGTTTTGCAGTTTTCTGGGTCTGTCCTACTGGCTACAGGTCACACATGGATAAAGAAGACACATGTGATCATCTCTAGTGAAGAGCTGAGTATGAAAGAGTGGATTAGCTTAGGTTTTGTGGCAAAAAAACAATGCTAGGATTCCGTTCACAAGGATGGTGTTTAGCAGTCTGGAAAAGGAAATACAGATCTTTATGGAGCACTCCTCTGTTTACTGCAGAGTAGCCAAAACATTGATTATGCCAGGCTCCTGAGGCTTTCTTCCTGCTACAGTCATGATCTTGTGTGGTGTACCAGAGAGCCTTGAATTCATGTCACAAAACCAACTGATTGTTTTCTAAATGCATAAACTTAGAAGAAAAAAATTAACTTAGAATGCTGTTAATATTATAGGCAATGAGGAAGTGTCTTTAAATTATAAATTAGATTTGTAACATGACAAGTGAATCTCTAAAGTCAATAGTGTGCTTAAATTGACCTTGTAACTCAATTTGCAATAATATTTCTTGCAATAATATTCCTTTATATGTATGTGGATTCATATTTATGCTCTGAATACCATGCAGAAAAGTAATTTCACTGAAGCTAGTTTTCACCCACTTTAGTATTTTAATTTCTAAAATATAGATGGAAGAATATTCCCTCTTAAATGCCTGCATTTTAAACACCTTTTTTGAAATACATGCTTTGTATCCAAACTCATTGTACATATTTTTTATTTGACATCAAATACCATTGTTCCAATATTCTTTTTCACAATAGATTCTGATAAATTTTCTGAAAAGTGATAGCTATTTAAATTGCAGACTTAACATAGGTTTTTCCTTAAAACTGTGACTTTTCATCAGTGGTTCTGCTTACCAGTGAAGTTAAGATGGCTCATCCTAAAGCAACCAAACAAACCCCAGTAAATATTGTGTAGAGATAATTCTTGGGACTGATAATTAGGATGCTTTAAGTTCATTTGACCCCCAGAATATCTACATACTCAAAAATCTGTTAAACCAGTTAATTTAATGTATCTTTGCATATGTTGTTGTTCACTGTCTTGCTCCCCCTGGAACCATTTGAGAGCAACTTTTTCAGAGAGCATTTTGAATGCTGTGTAAGCAGGGAGAGAAGATGGCAAGCATTGCAGTGCCAATTCTGAATATTATTTGGCAGATCACATTATTTCTTTTTAGATATCCTGTCAGTTCTTTTAATACGACTTGGTTCATTGTTTTTTTGCTTTCAAAACAGAGGAGAAACTAGGTCAGTAGGCTATCAGACAAGCTGTCAGAACTAATCTGTGCTTACACTGTGTGCAGTAAAACCCCTCTGCAGCACAAAGACAATAGAAGGTGCTTGATCCTTCATTGTACTTAAGATTTAAAACTGTACCCATTATTAATTCTTACATTTTAGCAGGGTTCAAGGTCTTCTAGCTTTCACTTATGTGTGAATCTCTCATTGAACAGCCTTGATATTTTAGTTCATTTTCCTTTTTCCTTTCAGACATCAGAGCAAGAGACTAAAGGTCTTCCCAGCAAAAAGGGTATTGTGCAATCTATAGTGGGTCAAGGCTACCACCGTAAGATAGTCCTAGCGTCCCAGTCCATACAGAATGTTGTTTATAAGTAAGTATGTTTTCCATGGGTTATTTATTTTGTTGTTATAGCTTGGATATGTATCTGTTTATCAGAGGTTTTAAAACTGTTGTGGAATAACTGTTCATTCATGTAGTGGAGAGGCGTGCTGAAATGCATTGTGAGTCCTACTTAAACATCATTTTGTGCCTCCTCTGTGATGGCCAGCAGAGGGCTTAACTGTGTGTTCCTTGTAACTAAGAAGAGCATTAAAGCTTGAAATTTATTTATCTGAAATTTACATTTCCAGCTTACTAAATCTGGCCTCTTTTTCTCACTGAAGTCTTTATTTTCAGTAACCCGCTTTACAGAAGTGCAGGAAGAATCTAGTTATTCTGCCATAAAACTTCAGGGAGTGAAATCAAGGAAAACAAGATAACTTCTTATAATTATGTGGTTGAATCTATTTGGGCGTCATGATGTGCTTTCAATATGTAAAAATACCAAGATACATACATCCTCATAAGTTAAATTTGTTATATTAAAACATTAATTGACATTTTTAGGATAAATTTTTCCCTGCATTCAGATATTTCCAGAGGTTTGCTTTTATTTTTTAATTTAGTAGGATTGTTACTTACTAGTTAAAACTTCTGTGTCTCTTTAAGTGATGGGCAGTCCTCAGCAATACCTGTAGCCAGTATGGAGTTTGCAGCAATTTGTCTAAGAAATGCCTTGCTGCTTCTGCCAGAAGATCAGCAGGAGCCAAAGCAGGAAAATGGATCTAAAACTACGAGTCAGCTGGGGGGAAATGCAGAAAACAGTGAAAGCAGTGAAGCATGCAGGTAAATAGAATTGAATATAAACCTTTTTTCTTGTCCAAAGTAACCCTGGGCTGACAGTCTGTGTCTGCTAGTTATCCTGTTTGGCTAGCAGAAAAAATTAACATATTTGTAAATTGTCTTAGCAGTGTTGGCCTCTCCAAGGAAATAGTTTAGCTGCTCATTGTTCGATTGCTGGTATGCTACTTTAAGAATAAAACACTGAGTTGATTCCTGCTATTCCTGACAACTTTATTAAATTAGACAGTGAAATTATTTTTTTCACTGACCATCTTTTTTTCTGTGCTGCAAATGTTATGTTTTCCCACACCCTCCCGCTGTGCATATTGGTATTTCTCTAATTGTAAGTGAAGTTTCACATGTTACAGTGATTCAGTGTGTGTGTGCACGTGCACCATGTACTTGATTCAATATATATATAAATGTCTAGCAGCTCAGTTGTAAACATTTCCCCATGATCAGATTTGACATTCATCAGCCCTAGAATGCTTTGTTGTGTTTTAGACTAGAAATGGGAAACAAGATTTAGAAGGTAAGAAGGAAAGCAGCATGGAGCTGTTGCTTAAGAAATCATATTTTACAGAAAAAGAGTTTAAGAAAAACCTTTTTTTGTCCTCAGTTTCAGAAAATAGAACTTGTAGACAGTGTATGTCAAAGGAAAGTGTCTTAATTTTTTTTCATCAGTCCTGATACATTCCGGACTTCCTTTTGAAGAGTAACTTTGAGCACAGTCTGCACTTTCATTAAAGACCATTTTGAAAGGGAAAGTGTTACAATAATTAATCTGGAAAGTGTGTTAGAACTTGAACTACTTAGAGAGTAATGAAAAAAAAACAAAATGTTTTTGTCAGACCCAAGTACAGATAAATTTTAAGAAGTTTAAATCCATTTGTCACATGGCAGGATTTACTGCACACATGCTATATGGCATAGGCACAAAGTGCATCCTTATATATTCAGAAGTTGCCTGACCATAGACTATGGCTGGGGGTCAGTGGCTGGTACTGCTACAACAGTATTTGAAAGCTGTTCTCTGTAACCCTTTATTTTCCCAGTTACAGTTTATATTGTAAAGTGACTAATGATTTACGAAAGTTGGGGTGGGGATTGTGGTTTGTTGTTGTTGTTTTGGTTTTCATTTGGTTTGGTTTTTTGAGGCTTTTTTTTTTTTTTTGTTGGTTGGTTTTGGTTTTTCAGGGAGGAGGGATTTTTTTTTTTTTTGAGGGGGGGGTTGTGTGTGTGTTTTGGTTTTTTTGTTGTTGTTGGTTGGTTAGTTGGGTTTGTATGTTTGTGGTGGTTTTTGCTTTTTCTTCTTTGCTGAGGTTGGAGGTTGTGAACTAACTTCCCCTGGCAAGTATGTATGCAGCCTATTGAGACGAAGCTTCTCTTGTTTAAATGTGACTTCAATTTTAAGCTTATTGGGCTCACTAAGAAGCAGTGATGAAAACAAAATGATGGGCCTTATTCAGACAAAACCTCCTTTTTTTGTTTTTTTGTTGGGGTGGGTTTTGTTTATTTTTGTAGGAGTGAAGAAAGGAAAACATGCCTTGTATGGGAAGATCCTTTACTACCTTCTGTTTTCGAAACCAGATGCTTCTTCAACTGAAAAAAAGTTAAAGAAAGGACTCCCTCATATCTCCCAGTGGTCACTGCCAATTGCAAAATATCCCCAACAAAGGAGGCTGTTCTTGAATTTGTGTGTCACATTCTGAAAGGTTCTCTAAGGATTTGTTTCTTCTGACAAGGGAACCTCTGTGAGAGAACAGTAAAACATATAAGGCATGTGAAGAAAATCACACTAATTGAACAGGATGGTTTTGAAGCAAATCCCACTAATTGAGCAGGCCGACTCTTAAGGCAAATTCTTCTCTTATTCACAAGAAAACAGTGAATACTTTTAGTGGTTAAGGGAATTTTTTTAATCTATTTTTTTGCAAAGGCATGAAGTGTATACTCTACAGCAGTATTGAGTACAGATTTCCTTGGGGTTTTTTTACTGTCTGGTTTGAATGCCTAAGTTGATGTTATCTTACCTGTTTGCAATAGACAGATACAAAACTCATCAATTAAAAAGTTCTTGTTAAGTGGACAGATTTCAATTCTGATTTTTTTAATCAGTTTCCAAACTGTGTGTCTCTGCCAAGGTACAGCTATTATCCATCTCTTCAATTCTCATTCCAGGAGGTTCTTTCAGCTTATTGGAGAGTGAAGTTTCATACTCTTAAAATAGAATGATAATGTGCTCCCCTAAGAAAACAAGCATAATTTTAAGACAGTTGAATTTTATTTCTTAGAAAAGACATTTTGAAATAATAATAAAGGGAACTAGAAGTCTAAAAAAAAAGCTGTAGTAGTTTGTGGGTTATCTTTCTAGAATATTTATGTAACTAGTTTTTGAGATGTCTAGAGAAAGAACTAGTTTACTGCTTTTCTTCCAGGCTGAAAGAAAAGAGGCTACAAATGCAGCAAATTCTGTGTCCCTCCAGTTAAAAATGCTTATCCTACACTAAACTTCAAAAATAGCTCAAAACTGTGGAGAATGGTGTGGGTTGTTTGGTCTGTCAGTCAAATCCTTTCCAGCAAATGTCCCACTTATTCCTTCTCAAATAGAACGGTTAGAATAAGAGCACAAACCTCAATCTCTGCATAGCCTCAATTCCCTGTGTTTTAGGCTGCAGAATTTATGTCCTTTTAAATGGAGTGAATAAATACCAATGCTTTTTACACTGAGAATTTTTTAATTAACTACTATAATAAGTCATTCATTATAATTAATACACTGTTTTTATTCTAGCAATAAAAGTCATGAAGGGGATAAATTCATTGCAGCTCCTCCTTCTTCGCCTTTGAAGAAACAAGAATTAGAGAATTTAAGGCAAGTAAATAATATAAAATATTCACCACTAAATGAGCCTCTTCCTAAACTGTGATTCCCAGCTTTTCTTGTAGGCACTCGACACCTTGAATTGTAGCTGTTTAAGCATAATCGCTTTTCAAATGTGTGTCTTCCTTTCTTCTGGGCTTTGAGTCTAAACAAGTAGAAGCCATCCAGAGTTTCAATTTAGGAGGCAAATAAGTCTGTTTGATACCACTGTTGGAAGTTTGGCACTAAATATTGGGCAAGACTAGTATAAGTTCCATAAACAACAAAGCTAAAAACCCTGACAATGGCTGTCATCACTGATGGAAGGGGATGGGAATTACCGTGTGGTTCCTTGTCCCTTTGAAGCATGATAAAGCTAGTTTGGAATTCATTCCCCCCATTATATGCTTGTTGGATGGGGAAAAAAATTAAAGTGGAAAGCAGCACAGCTACTTTTATCAATGAGAAAGGTGTTCCTTTCACCAGTTTGCATAAAATAGAAAGCAAAAATGTCTCTGTCCCAGCATTTGACTTCATTACCATGGAACAACATTGGTAAAATTTGACTGCAGATTTTTTTTTTGTGTTCCCAAAGATCCTTAAACTACTTTTTCAGCAGTTAGAGTGTTCTCCAAAGAGAGTTCCTTGCATGTGTCGAAATAAGTATCACATTATCTGGAGCCTCTTTACTTTTCCACAACAAGATTATAATATGCTGGCAATGTTAGTTATTCCAGGTGGCTGCCAGCCCACTGAAAATCTCTCTTACTATAAAGCTTGCACCTGTTAAGAAAAAAGAAATCTGTTTTAAGTTTCTGTATACTGTTTTTCATACAGTAATTTCCCACTTGAACTCTTGAGTAAACACTCTGTTCCAGCCTAGCTCCAGGTAACCTGTTTCATAATGACCAGCTTAACCTTTACTTTGCTCCCTGTGTGTAGCAAATCTGCTCGTATTCACTTAGAAGCACTTCAGAAGGAATCTGTGAGGAGATGCTACTGGGACCTTGATTATTTATTCTGAAGTGGTGTAAGAGTGGGCTACCCGAAATAGAAAGCGCTGGATTAGAAAAACAGTGATGTGGGTTGGTTGTGGTTTTGTGGGTTGTCTGGTGTTTTTTTTTCTCCTCCTGACTGTTGAAAATGTGGCTGCCATGTGTCAAAATTACGTGGTGTCACTTTGTGATTTTTTTTTTTTTAAAATACATAGTTTTTTCTTTCACAATCAGCTTTTGTTATCTCCTGATGAAATCTGACAACGTCAGAAAAAGCCTATCAGTTTAGCAAGAAATACCCTGCTTGATGCAAGAACATCATATAAGGAAAGGAAAAGCATTGATTTATTTTTTTGCACTACTTGCTTTGGTTTAATTTTGAGGACTCGACATCCCTTGGAAGTGATTCTGCTGAAACTATTTCTAAATTTCTGAAGACAGTTTTGAAAAGCAAAGTATGTTACACTCAAATAGTAGTCTTATATGTATATAATGTATATAGTTAGAGTGTTCCTGTAGTCTTGCTCACTAAGGAGCTAAATGAGAAAATTTAAATTCTTGTCGAGCCAGGGAAATTTAGGGAAAAAAATTCTGGATATTGTCAAGGATTATCCTAAGGAATAAGTGTCTTTGAATTCAATTTTTCCCTCTTAAGTCACTGGACTGAGAAACCTCTATTGCTTCTAGAACTGAAACAGGCAACTTAAGTGCCTTTTTTTCATGATTTTGTGCAATTGCACATCCTGGTAAGAGTTCAAAACGACTGACTTCACTTTACTCCTGAACAGTTCTTAAAATATAAAAGTATCATCTAGAAAAGGTTTTGTTTGCATTGTTTGGTGCTTATGCACAAATTCATTGAACAGACTGTTCTCATAATAAGCAGCAATTCAATGGCAGGGTTTTAAAAGCAACAAGCAGATGTCTAAGTACACCAAACATTGCTGAGAATTTATGTGTTCAAAGTAGAAACTCCAGATTTTTCTTCTGAGTTTCTTCTAAACAAATCTTCTCCTTGCTGCCTCTCATCCTCCGAGAACCCAATTCCCTGTTCTGCTCTCAGCACACCAGAACAACCCAACACTGTTAGGGTGCTTCAGGTGTAAAGATTGTTTCATACCTCCCTAAATTGAAGGTCTTTGTGTGAGAACATTAAATTTACCCTTCAAAGCAACTAGAAATAAAGGGATGATCTGATCACCCACTTTGTCCTGAATAGATTTGATCTGTAAGCCCTTGCTATAAGGCATGCGATCCAATTTTACACCTTTTTTTTCCCTTTCTTTGACTCTTCCATTGGCCATTTCAAGTCCATCATTATATTTTATTTATTTTATTTGTTTACTTGTATTTTTCAAGCATATACATAGTATTGTATATGGTATTCCAGGGACATCACTGACATTGCTAATAAATTTACACCCAAGTTTGTAAGAACTACCACTGCCCACCAGTGCATTACCTCTTCTCCACACCTACCCAGTTTCACCTCATTTCTCCATTTAAAGGTTGCAGTGGTCTGTTTGGCCCTGTCACAATACTGGAAGCCTACAGTGATCATCACCTGTAGCTGTTTCACACTCTTCTTCCTCACTCAGACACTGTAGTTCTTCCCCATCTCCCCTTTGCTGGTGCTGAATTTCCCCGTTGAGTAAGCACAGCGTGCATTCTGTATTTCTTAATATTTTGTATTGTTTGCTTGTGTTGAAACATAGATAGTTTGTATCCACTCTTGTGCTTAGTTAGCTATTTGAAATTATTTCAGATTAGTGATGTTCTCAAATGGTTTAGAATTGTCATTTTTGGTAAGTTTTGAAGAACTAGATTGGCTCTGGCTCACCCTCTCCCTGAGAAATAAGGCAAGTCAGATGTGGAGTTCAGGTTCCATAAACTTGCAGTCTGTGTGGGCTGACAAATCTTGTTGCCTAGACCTACACAAGAGGCTGTTTGACATAATCTGGCAGTTTAAAAAAACATTTTTCTTTTTCCTACTGCAAAGGCAGTTTTATTTAGGGCATGCGGAGGCTCGGTGATGCTGGAAGTCTGCCGTGCTCAAAGGCGACCTGTGGAGTTTTGTCAGAATCCTGACCGGGGTGAAAAACTAGTTTGTCTTTTCCCTTGTGGTGCAATTCTTCTGCTCCGGTTAGCTGTCAGCTCTCCTGAGCATTTGGTTCAGCCAACTCAACAATGGATCCAAGTGTGCAGGAACTTTACTGCAGGGAGGAAAACCTGGATATTTCCCCCTTCCGATGGCTGTTGCTGAAGAGTCTTGCCAACTCTGACGTAGCTTTAACGACGACGAGTCCTTAGAGCAGAGGAGGAGGTTTCAGTTTTGCTGGACTTGCCTGTTGTGTGATGGGAGCATGTCTTGTGATTGAATTTACACTTTCAGAAATAAAAATAGGCTTTAAAAAAGTCGTGGGAAATATGAAACACATTGATGTAAAGGGCAGTAGCAACCAACTCTGTGGGGCCTGACTTGTCTAAGAGCATTTTGCTAGTGACACTCAGCATCTCTGCTGATTTGCACTGTGCTTCCTTGAGGCAGAGACAAAAAGAGGCTAGTTAGAAGCAGGCTGTTATTACAGAGATTTTGTTTCCCAGTTCCATCCCCCTCCCCAGTCACAACCTTTCAGAAATATTTTAGGTTTGGGACTCGAGCGGGGGAAGCTTTCCTCTCCCTCTCTCAAGCTTTTGTATGTGTTCAGATTTGATGTGACATCTGGGCACAGCGGAGAGGAAGTGGGGGGTAGGGAGAAACACTGGAGAAGTTTCTTATCCTGCTTGTGCATAATTAAGGAGCATGCCTCCTGGGAAAGGGGAATAAAGACACCCCAGGTCCTGCCACGAATTACATGACTTACTGCTGGACCGAAAGTGGGCTTGACAGTTGCCAGAAGGTTGGCATAATAATAGCCCGCCTACCAGCGGGAGAGGCGAAGGCTCTCCTCCCACCGCTCCCAACGTGAGACCCCACTCAGAGGATCCACTTGTTCTCCCTTGAGAAGAACAGAGTCCTGCTCACAGCAGGGTGTTGTGGACAGAGGCTTGTGCCCTGAGGACAAGGCAGCCTGCACTGAATGATGTTTTCCCAAGTGGAAAATATCCCCAAGTGCTGTGTTTGGGGAGGGGGGGAGTTATTACCAAGTGAGAAGCTTGGCCTAATGATTGCATCCTGACGTTGGGTTATTGTTTGAAGGTGGAAAATGTGAGTAGCTCAGATTTTGTTACAGGAACTGCCAGCGATTTTGTGCGTTTGGAAAGACAAGAAAGTCTGTGACAAAAACAAATGCCATGGATCAGTCAGAATCTTGGCACCAGGTTACGGGTCTCAGTTGAACACAAAACTGGAAACACCAAATTCTCCAGTGTTTATTGTCTCCCTCTGTGAAGACATTGTACAACAGAAGAGCGAAATATGTTGCAGCATAACTGATTGCTACTGTGTCTGTAGGTTGTACCTTTCAGACATCTGAAAACCTGCTACCCTTTGCTGCAGCAGAAGGTGAGGGCAGGGAAGTACAAATGAGAGTCAAAGGCAAAACAATAATAAGAGTGTAAGAAAGGGAAACTGTCCATGAGAAAAGTGACCCATGATGAAGTCCCATCTTTTTTTAATCTGATCTTTATGATCAAAAGTGCAAAATCTTACTTAGCACACCATGGTGATCCTTGGTTTATACTGTAGAACAGTTGAGCCCCTAGATAATGAGCACTAATCTTTAAGTGATTACTGAAAGTTTATAATTTATTTCTTCACCACTTAACAAGAAAGAAAATTTAACAGTTGCTTTGGAATCACAGAATTCTTAATTTAAATATTGGCTTTCTCCCCTTTCTTTTTTTTTCTTTTTTTTTTTTTTTTGTCTGTTTCCCTCCAGGTGCTCAATACTTGCGTGTAGTGCTTACGTGGCGCTGGCTTTGGGGGATAACCTGATGGCATTGAATCACGCAGATAAACTTCTTCAGCAACCAAAGCTGTCAGGGTCTCTTAAGTAAGTCTGATGGGGTAATTTCTTCTTTCTCAGCCCTTCTTTTTGCTGGAGAGTCCTGAGTTGAAGCTTCCAATGTCTGTAGTTGCTTGTCAGTTCTGTATCTGATGCAAATAATTGCTTGGCCTGCTTGTTGAAGCCCTGACTAAATGTCCATTGACACACAGGAACATGAATCCCCTTCTTTGTGTATGAATTCCACGTAATTTGGAATCTATTGGTGCTTTTGTTGCTGTTTTTCCAGCTCTGGGTCCCATGCCACAGCAGGACCATCAGGTCTCTGTCTTGATTCACTGTGGGATTGCACGTGCTTGCGTTGGCACAGCACAAGGGGCAGGAACGTGCAGCTGGGAGTAGGCAAACCAGCCCAAACCAGCCCAAACCAGTGTGCTGCTGAAAGATAACTGAAACTACAGCCTTGGAGGGCAAGATTTGCTCAGTCTCTTGGGTACCAGATCTTGTGTGTGCAGGACTGTCACTTTACCTGCTACCATTGCTTATATAGGTTCCATTCTTCTGTTTCTCCTCTTCAGCTCTCATTTGGCACTGTATTTTTTGAAGGATGTTCAAAGCTCATTCTGTTTCTACCCACCAGTTCTCATACAGCTCTACAAATTCAAAATAGGCAGCTTTGACCCCATCCTTCTGACCTCGTTTGTCCATTTAATACCTCTGTCATACACAGAGAAAAATATAGCAGGGGTTTTAAGGTAGTCAATGTTTTTCAAAACTGGTTACGTACTTGTAGAAGGCAAAGTAACTTTTGCTTATTTTTATATGCTGGCAGCATACTTTTATAATGGTCCAGTTAAATTCTTGAGCTCCTGTACTTCAGACTACTGCAGGAGCTCATCTTTTTGCACAGTCATCGTACAAGCAAGATTTTTGAGGAGTTTGCAAGGTAACACATAATTTTATGTTACCATTATGTAATGCAAAAAATGCTAAATGACAGCTTTTTCGCAAAGACAAAGAACCATATGTCTTGGTCCCAGGAAAATAGGCTTTTTTTATTGAATCTGAAGGAATTTAACACTTTAAATTATACATATGTCTATATTCTGGAATTACTTTTTTTAATTCTCTGAGATAAAGCCATACCAAGGTAATTCCTTTGTGGAATGGCAATTCCTGTGCATGGATTAATTGTCTTTACTGAGGTGCAGATTTATTTATTTTTTTTTACAGCTTTAGTGCCTAGAAGCAGTAAATGGTAGAGCTGGGTATTATGACAATACTTCATGAGCAAGTTAACTTCCACACAAGTGTTTCAAGTAATAGTTCCCGTGTGTTCATGTTAAAACTGTGTTCAGTTCGTCTTCCATGAAAAACTGTGGGGATTGCTGTGCTGATATTTGTACCTGACCCTTTGCTGTTCTAGGTTTCTCGGGCATTTGTATGCAGCAGAAGCTCTCATCTCTCTAGACAGAATATCTGATGCCATCACTCACTTGAACCCCGAGAATGTCACTGATGTTTCCCTCGGGATCTCTTCAAATGAGCAGGATCAAGGTTAATGCACCCACACTTCATTACAACTGGTTATGCTTTCAGCTGCCTTACTGTTTTAACTTTCTAGACACAAATATCATAATGATTAGGACACTTTAAGACCGTAGGTTGTTCATGTTGGGGGGCTTGTTTGTGTTTCTGTTGTTGAGTTTTCAGTTTCCTGGCTTTAGTTTCTACTTCATGTTTGGTGTGTCTTTTCCCTGCTCTTATGAGGTTGTTAATTCTGTAATGTAAATAGAACTGTATATTGTAGCATTGTGGCTTGTTTGAAGGGAACTTCAAAAAGCTGCTTTTGAGAAACGTGCAGTTATGGTTAAGTTTGGGCTTCATACTGTCCCTTCCAGCTTTTTAGTCTCTAAACCAGGCTTTGGAGTACCAGTGAAGTCTACTTGACTGAGAGATAGAAGTGGGGAGAATTTAGTTTAATCTGTACCTTAATTTTCTTGATGGGAGTGTGTATTCTGTAAGAGAAAAATACTTCAGAGTCCATCTGTATAACGAAGTCTGCAGCAGCTCTGATTTCACTGACATGTCTGCTGTTTAAACTTCACTTTACTCATCTGCAAATCTAAAACTGAAACATTGAAGATAGGAAGACTTAGGAGACATAAACTCTTGACTAAATTGATATGTTTTCTCTCTTTAATGTCAGACTGTGAAGAGAGAAGCAAATTTGTATCTTTGTACTATCTTTGTAATAAGCTTTAAAAAAGCTCGCAGAAACATGATGGTTTTTGTGGTTTGGTTTTTTTTCTTTTCCTTTGCAGGGTCTGACAAAGGAGAGAATGAGGCAATGGAATCTTGTAAGTACCAGCCACTGCATTCAGCAGAGTACAAGAATTTACTTGGCCAGTTTGGAATAAAAGTGTAAGAAAAAAAAATCTTCTTTATTGCAGCTGGCAAGCAGACCCCACAGTGCTACCCCAGTTCGGTCACGTCTGCACGAACAATGATGTTATTTAACCTTGGAAGTGCTTACTGTTTGAGGAGTGAATATGACAAAGCTCGAAAGTGTCTTCATCAGGTAGGACAAACAAATCTCAAGGCAGCATTAAATGGGACAAATGTACTTCCTTCAAAGTGCCATTTAGATCCCAGCAAATTCTGGTGATTTTGTAGCCCAGGTTTATTTGTGGACTTTGCTGAGGTGGTAGCTCTCTTCTGTCTTTATGAACCAGTCTCTATTAGTTACATACAATGAAGGATTCCAAATTTCTTACTTGTGCAAAAAGTTCAGCACCATCATAGGAAGCTTTTTTTTTTTCCTTAGGTCATATCAAACCAGTGGAATATGACTAGGAAGCCTTTTCACTTTTTTTAAGTTTGCTTGTTTGGATTTTTTTGTGGATTTTTTAATGGTCCAATAGTAATTGTTATATTTCAGAGGCAGTTTTCTCCCTAATTAGTTAACTCACCTTCAGAGCCATTATCTTTAGGGCTGTGAGAATAAACTGCAATTATACTAGAAGTATGTTCCTTGTCCCAAGAATTTTCAAGTACTGCTTTTGAAATGCCGTCTTCACTTTTAGCCTGTGTCATGTCACTTGGTCTTTCTCATGGCTGGGACTCATCTCTCTCAGTTGATGATGTTTTTCCCTTTCTGCAGCCATTCCTGTCTGTCAGGAAGACTATTTGGGTGCATTGTTGAGCCACCAGCTGCAACAGCAGTCTTCCAAATTACTTCACATGAGTTGTGTAGGTGAACAGATTGAAATTCTGAGAGGCTCTCAATTACTTAAGGCAGTTGTGCAGCCCTTTTTCCTCCTGAGGCTTCTTTTGATGGGGCAAGTATCTGTGCTCGGGCTCTGTGGCACCTGTGTAAAGCCCAAAGGAGCGCAAGGCCGTCCATGGATGTAAAATATAGGTCTCTGCATCTACAAAAAATTCATTGACTTCACAGCTGAAAAACAGTTGTGTCTGGAAAGCTACCAAATGATCCTCGTTATTGTATTCTGAGCTTTGGAGCAGTGGAGGTTACCTCTTTCACCTGTCGTCTCACCAAGAAACCACAGTAGGCCGGCGCAAGAATTACAGATTCACAGGAACATAAGCACACAGCAGATGGTCCTGCTAATTAGTGTGAAACAATCTTGCCGTGCGGATCGTCTTGTGGTCTCTCCTTGCATGCTTAAACCTGATAGTGTGCATTAGTTTGAAAAAATCTGATCTTGGTTAATGAATTGTTTTCCTTGGTTTTGTTACCTAAGATGGTGGTGGCAATCTTGTCAAGGGACACTTTCTTTGTGCTGGACTTTTCTCTTAAAACACTTTTTCTCCCCACCCTCTTCTTTTTCAATAAGGCTGCTTCACTGATCCACCCCAAAGAGATCCCTCCAGAAGCTATCCTGCTGGCTGTATATCTGGAATTACAGAATGGTAAGTTTGGATATGTTCTGTCAACCTAAATTTTGGATGCAAAGGGGAGAGGGCAGTAGTCATCATGGAGAAATGTGCCAGTATTTTGAATGATACTCTTTAGGCCCTGCCTCCATTTTAGACAGCTATGGATCCATGTATCCACACCTTCATTTCCATAGTTTATTGCTATCTCATTCTTACCTACTCCAGATTTCCTAAACATTCACTGCCTGAACTGAAGTCTTCTATACTTTGTGCAGTTTTGGATAGGCTAGTAAAACCCTTGCTGAAGTTTATACTATAAAGAGGGTTTGAAAGGCCTTCCATTAAAAGACAACCATAATCCAGTTTCCCAAAGAAGCCATGTCAAGGCCTATGTAGCAAGTATGGCAGCAAAGCTTGTCATATTGACAACTCACTCTTCCAAAATGCTTCCTTTTGAAGGTTCACTGTGTTTGTATGGGGGAAAAACTCTATATAATGGGAAACTGGAAAGGCTGCATCTGAATCTTGCAGTGTGAGCAGACTGGTGCAGCTGCTGATCGAAGCTGGTTGCAGATCTGTGCTCCTTGGGGCTTAATATCCAAGTGCTGCAAAATGTTCTGTTCCCCTTCAGTTGTCTTGCATTGCAGGCAGGCAGAGGATTCAAGTATTTGCATTCGGAACTGAGACTTCTGCAAAGCTTTTCTTACAAAGATATTTCTAATCTGGAATTTTGGAAGCCTTTCTTTCTGCAAAAAGATGTACAGAGCAGAAGAGAGTAGAAAGTGGAATTTACATCTCCCACTCCCTTTTAAGTATATAGCAAAAAAAGGCCAAAGACATTTTTTGTTCTGTAAATGACAACAAAATGGTGCATCTCTTCTGAAACTAAAACTTCAGTGAAAGAAAAGTATTTGTGAGAGGGAGAAATATTCCTTCAGAACTCAGCATCTTTTCTCCTAGATTGTGCAGGTTTAATTTTTAACAAAGAATAGGTTTTCCATATATGTTGGTGTTTATTTGATTGGGCCATGCAATACAGTTGAAAATCAGACTTCTTCTTTTAAATATTTAAATTTTAAAAATTGTTTTATATATACACCCTCAACATTTGCATCACTGTCTGCAATGTCACAATGTGAGGGCATTTTGTGTGAGATCTAGAGTCTAACAACACAGCTGGGAGAGGGAAGAGGTACCCTTCAGGAATATAGAAGGTGCTCTGGCATCTTCCAGCTCTGAGGTAAAAGCTTGATGTCTTCAGCTCAGAATAGGTCGACTCAAGCAGAAGTATCTTTTTCAAGTTAACTGTTGTCTAATGCTTTTCGTGACCACATCAGCATTTCACTGACTAGGAAGACTGCTGGTGCCTGTGTGCTCTGTGCCTAGAACAGCGATTCATACGTCATAAAATGTGGTTTGGTTTTTTTTTTTTAATTGAATTTGTCTTGTAGGTAACACGCAGCTGGCACTGCAGATCATCAAGAGGAACCAGCTGCTCCCTTCCGTGAAAACACTCTCTGACATGCGGAAAAAGCCTGTTTTCCAGCCAGTCCACTCAATCCAGCCCATTCAGATGCCAGCTTTCACCACTGTTCAAAGGAAGTGAGGTTGTTCTTCAACCTGCTGCTGCTGTGCCCATGAGGGCTTGGGATTTTGTATATTTTTTTAACCTAGGACACCAGAATACCCCAATTGCTGGAGTGTGTTTATGTAAATTTTTAATAAAACGTATAAACAAAAACACTTGTGTGTAAAGGTTATTTCATGAACAATGAGAGAGGGGTATCCATTTTGAATGGGAGTGGCACTTTACTTACCAAGAAGAATTGGTTAACCCAGTGTGTAATTCAGTTCTTTTTGAAGAGAACAGGGGGAGGGAAGTAACTGGAAGGAGAAAATCATTTACTTAATTCTTGAAAGAGCAGTTGAGCTGCTGTGTTGCAACACCTATGAGCCATGATATTCCTCGAAGAAGAGGCCTTTGCCCGACTTGTTGATGTAGCTACAGTTCTCTGCCCTGCAGCAGCTGGGAGTTGGGGCCTTGCTGACGATGAAGTTGCCTCTTCAGCGGTGGGGGTGGATGATGCCTGAGAGAGAGAGAGTACCTGCGTGATGGGGGGGTGTTTTGGGTGGGACTGTGCTGGTAGGTGAATGCCCCTTCAGCAGTGCTTCCCTCACACGGGACAGACTCAGACTGCTCCTCCTGTCTCTGCAGCAACACAGGGGGTAAGAGCTAAAGGCTCTTTGCTGAAATGATGGATCAGCAAGGGCAGAACCTGCAAGGGCAGAACCAGTGCTGCGCAACAGCAGCGCTTTAGCTGGCTGGGGGCCTGTTTGCGTTGGATTGTTGTGGTTGGTTGGTTTTCTTCTCCCTGGTTTTCTTTGCCCAAAAGAAAGATGTATTTGTGCAGGTACAGTGGAAAAATGCCTGGCTGTAAGAAAAGTTGTTCTGTTTTCTGGTTGGGTTTGTTATGTGGTTTTTTCTTCAAATGCAGTCTCCATTGTAGAGGAATACCTCTCAAGAAAAAAAAATAAATATCTGCCTTTTACTCAAACCGAGAGGTTGCATGTAAGATGGCAGCATAATCAAGGACTCTCTGGTTAGTCATTGCAAGCACAGGCAAAGCAGGGAGCCGTCCTGCCTTGGGACTTAATGCAGGCATGAGATAATTGGCGGCCAGCATGGAGCCCAGCTCCTCTCCTCACATTCCCTCCTGGGCTGTTTTGTGCCATTTCAGCTATTTGAGCCCTTGCCCTGATAATCTCCAAGATAGAGCTGAGCTAACACCTTATCTCCCGGTGCTGCTGGCATTGTACTTTGCCTCCAGCCACCGCCAAGAAAATCACTTTTCCAAGCAGCACCTGGGATGTGAGGCCTGCAAGTTCTGCGCTCAGTCTCGAGCGTGGGGCAGTGCAGATGTGTGCAGCAGAGGAAGGCAGCAGGATAGTCTTGGGTTTGTATCCTCGACCTTGAAGAAAAAAGCCACAAGTGACAGAAGCAGAACAGCGAGTACTGAACAATGTGCAAGTTGTGGAATGCGCACAAGGAGGTGTGTCTCCAGCAGGAAGCAGCACAGCAGCAAGCTTGAGACCTGCTACCAGCCCTCCTGTTGGGTAACTGGCATCCCTGTTTGTCGTGCCTTTCAGAGCAACAACCAAGTAGCTGCCTCGTTAAGTAACTTGGTATCACTGCAGGAGGTGGCACAGACCCTGTCCTCGGGTAGGGCCAAGCCGTTTAGAAATAGTAGGAATTTAAAAAATAAATTTTAAAAAAATCAGTAAAAAAGAGGTAGAGATCACTTCTCCGAAAGAAGGAAGAAAGGGACCTGATACATCCCTCAAGTCACAGCAGATTGACTGATGAAATACAAAAAAAAAGGTTAAGGATGCTCCCTGTGTGGTCCCGGGCCCTGAATAGAGAATATTCTTTGCTGCCCTTCCCCGCCCCCCCAGGAATGCGGGGCATTCACATGCAAAAGATGCTCAAGCCTTGCTTCCAGCAGGGGCCAGCTCTGCCCGGAGGCACCCAGCGCTCCCCCCAGGCTCGGTGAAGGATGCAGTTGTTCCCCAGATAAGGTGCATCTTATCGCAGCCGTATTTACATGTCAGCCGCAGCTTTCAGCCCCAGCTCTCCCCTCCACCGCCTGCTCCTCTGCCCTAGGGCAGTTGCAGTCACCACAGCAGCTTCGAACTTTTCCCCCTCCCGCTGCGACTCGAAGACAGCGATGGATGATTGGAGATGATGGCTTTCAGCTTTCATAGTTTTAACAGAGAGGAAAAAAAAAAGTGTAAAAAACACAGCTCGGGAGGGAGCAGTCAAGGACTTGGCCATAGAGTCACAGTCCACTTTCTCTTCCCTCTGTTTCTTTGAGGCTCTGGTAGTAAAGAAGTGAAGGTCAAGTAAAACTGCAAGCTGGCCTGTGATAGCAGCACAGGCTCAGCTGTGAGTTCAGTCAGTAAACTCAACAATGCACAGTGCTGAGGGTCCTACAGTTGCTCAGGGCCAAAAAGCACCTCGGCTTTGAAAAGCTAAAGCAGTCAGCACTATGAGAGCCTGGAATACACCTCCAGTGCTGCCTATGCTGGGAATTCAGGCATTGGCCTTAATTCTCACCTTACTTGAACAAACAGCATCTTCTCATGCTCACCATTTCTTTTTAAATGTTTTCCAAAGCAGTAAAGGAAAAGGGCACCTTTCCCCTTACCCAATTTGTGATGGCAGTCTGCCCTGCAAAGTGCTAGAGACACCTACTGAATGTTCGGGGGGGGGGCTTTGCTTTACTTACACTGCCACTCAGCATTCCTTCCTGGTTGCAAAGGTGAAGAAATGGAAGCCTAGAAATGGACCTCAGAAAGTTAAACCAGGAACCTTCTGGCCAAAAAAAAAAAAAAAAAGAAAAATGCATGAAGTTACAGGTAGTTAAAGTTTTCAGCAGTCCCTATCTGGAGACAGCCAGGTTCAAATTCAGGGAGGGGCTTTTCTTTTTTGCATTCTGACAGAAAGAGAAGGCTTTGTCTGGGTAATACAGAAACACACATACACCGATTTGCCATGGAAAAAAACCTCACATTTATTTGATTAAACAAAAATAAAATAAACTGCATAGGAACATTTTAAAGTCCAGAGAGACACTGACTTTGTTTTAAGGCTGCCAGTAGCTGATACATCGTCTCCTTGCTACATCCTTCAGCCTTCCCTATGGACCACAAAGATACATTCAGAAACCTCCATTAACACAAGGGTTCTAACATTTTGCTCACTTATTCTACGTAGAAGTTTGCACATAACCTGTCATGCTTTCTTTTCTGCAGTACTCAACATCTGTCAACTAAAAATTATGTCACTTTTTGCCCCCAAGTGGAAACGTGATGCCCTGTTTGGAGCATGGCAGTTCTTGTCACAGCCCGTCTCATTTTCAATTAGATACAAAAAGCTCTGAGAAGGTCATTATAAAAGCAGAGCACTGCCTGTCCTCCTGAGATATTTGATTATTATTAGGAGAGCAGCATCATTAATCTACCAAAGCAGAAAAAAAACAACTGCAACAATGAAGGAAACTACAAAACCTAATCAAGACATTCAACATCCAAGGACTGACAAAATCATCCTGGATTCCAATGCAATCCTGCACCAAGGCAACGCTTCTTATAAATGAGTAGTGAAAATTTTGTAAGATGGGGCCACACATCTACAGTCAATTAAATAAGGGGAGAAAATTGCATGTTTGGCGTTGTTTTCATGTGGACGAGCTTTATTTTGTTCAAGGCTTCCAATTTCTATTTGAGTTAAATCACAGGCATGTGTTCAACGCTCTCAACTACTGCAACAAACTGTGCAGGAACAAAGGAGTGCATGACAGGTAATGCACAGTACAAACAAGAGTCACATACATAAGAAACCCCCACCAACTCAGGTGACTACGCAAACCTTACAAACTAGTTAAAAACTTCTTAGTCATTTTAGAAAGAAAACCTAAAAAGGAAACCCAGAAAACAGACATCTCTCCCTCTGAAGGAAAAACTACTACATTGTCTGAAAAGTATTCTACAAACCTATAAAAGGACTTTTTTTTTAACTAGTCTGGTAGTTCAAAAGGAAGTTACTTAACTACATCAGTACACAGACACTTAACATTCAGTCAGTAAGGCTCTACAAAAAGAGCTTAACAAATTATCTACCTGAGTTTGTAAGTTGATACAATCATTAATAGAAGGTCTAAGACCATGCAGGTACACAAAGCATTTTTAGAACCATTACTGGTTGAACAATGATGGAAAAAGATGCCAGTCTGGCTTGTTAACCCGTAAGATCACTTAGAGACATCAATGTATATTTTCCACCACAACATTTACCAAACCCAGCACAGCCTATTGTTATTAGGGGTCTCCTGTACCCACTTTGCCACCCCTTAATATGAACTGGGGAGGTAAAAGGATCATTTTTTTTTCCCCCCCTCAGTTGAGTAGTCTGAAAATGTGCTTCTGCAACTCAGCTCCACAGGTAAAACGTGGGCTATGCTGCACGTCACTACTAAAGTTGCATAAACCCCCAAGACAGCGGTTTTAAACTGCCTCTCCTGAGTATGTTTGAACCTAAACTGCCCTCCAGGAATAGGAACTTGGTTGCTTTGTCATGGTGGAAAAAATCCCATTGAGTCAAGAAAGCTACTAATACAATCACCAAAGTCAATTTAAAAATAAAAAAAATCAGGATCTTATTCCCTTCAAGCATTTGGTATAGCATTGTGTTTATAGCAATCATAACACCAGTCTTTCCAAACAGGACACATCGGTAGGCATGCATGAGTTTTTCTCTTGTAGAGAGAAGACCTAAAGGTCTTACGGGCATAGGAACACTGCAAATGAACATGAAGTATGTCACGTCAGTTAGTAGTGTCATAATACTGAACAAAAGTTTACACTTCCATGCCTCATAGTGAAACCAGAACCAACTTGGAAGTGTTTCGAGTCTCAGTCCAGTTTGCCTGAACGTTTGGTTTTATTTACAGATTTTCTAGCAAGGGCAGCTTAATATCTCCATAGGCAGGCAGCAAAAACAAAAGCAAACAAAAGCAAGCAGTCACCACATAGTACACACTTAGCATCTCCGTTTTAATTGAAATGCTTTTCCAATAGGCAGGATGAATCCTTCCCCCAGGCAGATTATCAACTCAAACCTGTCAGATGCTAAATTGAGGTAGATGATTTACTTCCGCTAAGTGAGGTAGAACTTCAAACAAAAGATAGTGGCATCTCTAGTTGTGCATTTTGTACCACAGCAAACTGGGTTTCAAACTCCCAAGGACTCAAAGACCAAAGGTACAATATTTGTCTAACTCAAGTACCAGTGTTCCTTTTTTATACAGTTCCAAACTGTTTGTTAAATATCTCTACTTTTAAATACCCTATTACCTTTTGGCACCATTTGGCTTACACTCCTTTAAAAAATAAACAAAACTTTGGCACAGTATTTTTTTAACCTAGAACTGAACAAAGAAATCTTACGATCAAAGTTATGGCAAGATAAGCCAATAAACCTTCTCTCTTCAGAAATTAATTTTGGTTTAACTGTAACACAACAAACTGGGCCCGCTTTCCTGCAATTCCAAGGGAATGCCACATCCAAGTGCCTCATTCTTTCTCCCAGCTTGATTATTGTCTGGCCCCAACATGCATTAGTTTTCAGGTGTTGTCTTCCTTCCCTTGCTTTCTTTAAAGTTTAAGGTTCATGGGCTTCCTTAAATAAGTTATATTTAAAAGGTATTAAAGGAAAAGGAGTGAGTTATCTGAAGGACCTGCATTATCAAGTATTGAATCGGCTTCAGTTTGCTACTGAAGTTCCTGCTTACATAATTCTGAGAAAGGACAAGATTGCTCATAGGCTGAACACCCAAACCAGCCATACTGACTGCCGATAACATTTTGTCAAACAAAAGGTTTACCTAGAGCCACTGGTTCAACCTGGCATAGTGAAAATCCTTTGGGAGTTCCAGTAGACAGCTCTGTCACCTGCATTTGCTGTTCCCCAGTGGAGAGGCACACGCTCACTTCAACCTTTCTCCAGGCTATTTCCCCTAGCTAAGAAGGTTACTCTGAATGCTCGTTCGGTTTGCAATCCAGCTTCCAAGCCTTGCTTTTCCTTTCTGCATGTATGTTATGATACTTGGGCATTAACCTGAGAACATGCATGGAAAAAGCACAGCAAGATTTGAATCTCATTTAAGTCTATTACTTTTTAAAGGCCCCTATGGGGCATCTGATGTTGGCATTGTATATTAGCACTACTTCTTTTCATTGCATATAAACCACTCCATTTTATAAGCTACACTACCACTTTTCAATGAGACCAAGTGTGCTTAGCACTATCTATGACAAAGATAAGAAATTCTTTTTGGGTAGCTAAATAGTAGTGTTTTTAAAACAAAAAAAGCTCCAAAATACACGAGGTCAAACACTTGAGGTTCAGTTTGCAAGCAAATCCCACTGAGTTAAATAGACAGCAACTTATAAAGAGTTCAAGTCATTTCTCTTCCTGACTGAGCTGGACTGGGGGTTTGTGCGATGGCTCCATACAAAACAGCAAAGGGCAACGTCAGTGTCTGCCACCTTCTACGCTGTGCAGGCTGGAGAGGGGCAAAGGGTTCCTCCAGTCCAACACAATCACGACTGCACACTTCTTTTTTTAATGTCTGGGAAAACAACTCCCTTCTAGCCCCAGAAAAGGGTGAACCTGACAAGCATTAAAGCACAAGAGAACATTTCTAGGACACTCCAACACTGTCAGCCACTCTGGTCAAAGTATTAAGAGACCTGGCATTTTCATTAAGACATGATAGGATAAATGTGAGGACACTGCAAACTATACATTAAAGCTTTCTAAACCAGTTTTCTTTGGTATCTGGATCTTGCGGGCTATATATTAGTTTTCACTGCCCATGTTGCTGAATTCTTGGGCTGAATAATACAAGACAAACATGGACATCTGTCACAGCTGTAGGCCATCCCCAAGAAGGGAGGCACGTTCACAAGCAGAACTTGCAAAAGTTGATGGTAAACTAGCTCTCTCTCATATGCATACTTTGAGTGGCCACAGAAATTTATTGACAGACATCCGTATAAAACATCATCCTTTAAAGACTGTTTTTAAAACCATGCTGTCCTAAGATAAAGCCTAACTGAAACACACTGCTTTGAAGAGTTTGCTTCCCTGAGGCTTTGGCTGAAAGGCAGCACAGTTTTATCTCATTTAATTTAGGTGTTTTTCCTCACCTTTCTTTTGAAAGAGGTTTTGCCATCTCATTAATCTTTGTCTCCTTCTGGTCCTTTAGTTTAAACCTCCTCTAAAGCGGCAGCTATCTGTCTGCACACATCATCAGTATTTCTACAAAACCCAGAAAGTTAATGCTCCTTGGAGGGAAAAGCAGCAAGAAGGAAAGTGCACCTTGTGATTTCTCACAAACTTGTAAAGAGCCTTTCAATCTCAGGTCACTTTTGTGCATGGTGGCTGGCAGAGAGATGAACCCTTTCCTTGGAGGATGGTTAAGGCTCTTCAGACTTTTTCAAAATGACCATGTTTAGGTTTCAGAGATCTCTCGCAAACAGTAAGGTAAATCCCATGGCATTTCCAAGGCTTAAGAGTACTGATACAAGAGTTTTTCCACTGCAGAGAGAAAGAAGAGCCCTCTGTTCCCTACTTTAACCATTCTTGTTTGCCAACAACAGAAGGTGAAGCTACGCATCTGCAGAGATCGTGTCTGCATTAACAGCCAGACTGGAATGCAAGAAATTGAAGAATAAACCCAAATCCTTCCAGGGATTCAAAGTCACATTTTGCTGAAGAGATCTCTGTTTTCCCCAAGGGTTTCTGCTTTTCACAAAACATGTTTTTATATCCCCAAAAGGGCAAACTTCCCCCTGCCTCCAAGCTTTTAAGGATCATATACATGTATTTTACATGGAATTCTTTGGTACTGCTCTGGAAAAAAAGCAGCAAAGTTTCACCTTGATGCAGTTTGCCTTACGCTGGTACTGGTAACTCTTCACTTGGATCTGTAGCAAAAGATCCTGTGGCTGGGAGCTACAAGGCCCACCCTAAAAGCTACAGTAGACATTCCCAACTTCTTCAGTCCAGCTCTTTGGGGAAGCCAGAAAATGAAAAAAAAAATATATTTTTGTCACTGATAGAGTTATTGCAATCCTCTTTAAACAACAACAACAAAAAATCTCAATCAGTTGACTTCTCCAAAACACACCCTGAATCTCCAAAGCTGTGCTTATTTCTTACTTTTGGAAAAAGGTACCACTTCTGTTCTAACAAATTCAAACGTTATTTCCCTTAAAGTCTCTCTACGGGGAGGGGCAAAAAAAGCTAGTAATTTCAAAGAAAGTAAATCAAAAGGGGTTTGATTTTCCCTGTTTCAATGCTCCTTGTAACCTCCTCTGTTATTCAGATTAGGTGTACTGATAAGAAACACTAACTTTTTAAAAACTAATTTAGCTTTCAGGTGAAAAGGGATAAAAAGAAATACTCAATGACAGAATACATTAAAGGAAGCCTTGCTTTTTATCTAAACTTTACAAGAACAGCACTAAGTCACTAAAATGAACAATTTGGTTTAAACTTAAAGAATATTTGTGCATTTTCATCAGCTTCACTTTGTGCTGTTAGATTACTGTCTTTCAGAAAAAAAAAAATATACAGAAATGCCAAAAAGATGCAAAACTTGCTCTTCCTGGCGAGTGAATCGCACTCACTTTCACAAAACGTTCAAAGTCATCTGGGAACAAGATGCTGTGCTCACCAGTAAATCAAACACACTGAGGTATAAAAAGGAGAACAGGAAAAAGTTCTCTGCTGCAGCAGCAATTCAAAAAAAAAAAAAATCCCAACAAAACCAAAGTCCCGCCCTCCCATATCCCCACCCACAGAACTGCAGTATGGTCAAGAAAAAACAAATTCTCTATAAACACCTACTACCATTTTCTCCACTTAAAAAGTTACATAGCGCCTTTTTTTGGCTTAGTCTAACAGAACTCACCACACAAACCACCTAATGTGCACAGCAACACTTGTTTGTGCATGAAACCCCACTGCGGGGCAAAGAGGTAAAATGTTCTGAACTATGAGTGTGTGGGGATGGGGAGAGGGCGAGAAACTGGGGAGGGAAAGGAGGACAATGAGGTAGATAGAATTTATTTTTACAGGCTCACTCCCTGCAGAAAAGATAAGTACATTCATCTGTAAAAAAATTAAAGATGAGGTAGGTTTGAATTAACGTTGTATTTTTTCATTTTCTCTTAGAAGAATTTCCCTGAGACAGTTTCTTCCTAATTCAAACACAGATTAGAAGACGAGAATTCGATTGTTTCCGAAGTCGACCACAACAATCATGCCATCAGGGGTGACAGCTATACCTGAAGGACGGTCCATCTGACCAAAGCCGCTTCCCTGAGTGCCAAACTTGCATAAAAAGCTACCATTTGACTCGAATATCTGCACCCGGTGGTTTCTGGAGTCAGCCACGATGATGCGCCCTTCCTGATCCACCGCCACTCCCTGCGGGCGCAGGAACTGGCCGTTCCCGGTGCCCTCCGAGCCCAGAAAGCGTGCTGACTGGCAATCTGGATGGATGACCAGAAGGCGATGGTTGTTGAAGTCTGTCACTACCAAGTGGCCCTCGTGATTGAAAGTCACACCTCTGGGGGAATCAAAGTGCTTCCAGAGTGCCCCTTCGAAGCCATACTTGTTAAGGAACACGCCGTCGGGCCCGAACAGCTGAACGCGATGGTTCCTCGTGTCAGAGACCAGAATCTTGCCCTCTGCGTTGACGGCCACATCCCACGGGTAATTGAATTGCCCGTTCTTCGTTCCTTTCTCCCCAAACTTCAGAATGAACTGCCCCTCAAACGTGAAGATCTGGATGCGATGATTGTCCTTGTCAGCCACGACGATCCTACGCGAAATGTCACAGGCCACGCCGGCGGGGCGATCGAACTGTCCCGGTCGGCAGCCCAGCGTGCCAAACTTGTGATGGAAGGTCCCGCATGGCTTGAACACCTGGATGCGGTTATTACTGCGGTCGGCAACGATGATGTAGCCCTCTTTGTCAACGCTGACCCCCCAGGGGCGGCAAAGCTTGCCGTCGCTGTCTCCCTCGCTGCCGAAGGAGAGCCCCGGCAGCCCGATGCCAATGTAGCTGCGCCCAGACTTCACCACCACTTTGAAGGGGCTGTTCTCAATGTGTTGGTTGCACATCATCACGGACACCAGGTGCTCTCCCTCGAGCTGTGGACGGTAGCTGACCAGGTAGGTCCCGTTTTGCTGATCACTGACATCTGCCCCGAAAAGGTTTCCATCTGGGCCCATCACCACTGCAGAGATCATGTCGCCTCCTGACAGGCGAGGCTCGCCATCGTGGTCGTAGCCGATCACGGTGAAAGAGGCCACTTTGCCCTGCAGCGCACGCTTGAGACCTTCCCCGGTGGCTTTGGTCAGAGGAGCAAAAGCCCCACTGCTGACAAAGCCCATTGATTTAATGGCCATATACAACGCCTGGTCAGGGGGAGTGAACATGATCCTGTCGTCTTCCTGTGGCTGGAGAAGGCCTCTCACGTTCTTCAGCTCCTGCACCTGAGCCAGCATGCGGTCCCGAGCCAGAAGAATATCCATGGTACGACCCTCCTCCAGGACCTGCTGAACAGCACTAATGGTGTTATCCAGCTTGTTTAGGTTCTGACGCAACTTTTCAACTTGCAAGTAGAGTGACTTAGCCTTGACTTGGCGAATCTTTTCCACCTTGCAGGGGACAGAGGGGAGAGAAAAGCACACTTACATCAGGAAAGACAGCCCACACCACAGGCATTACCTAGTGTCACCTTTCCACATAAAAAACAGCTGACCAGTTGTTAAAGCATGTTAACACACAGCTACAGAACAAACCTCCAAAAGCCACAATGTAGACAAGAAGAAATGAGGAAAAGTAATTAATTATCCAAATTCAGGATTATTAGTATTTCCTACCCTCCACGCAAACCTATACATTCTTATCCTGCCGATCCTGCTGCAGAGTGCCATTAGAAAGGGACAGTCACTTGCTCACTAATAAATATTTGCTTCCTCAAATGCTATTCTGTTTTCTAGTTGTAAGGTACTTGACAGATCAACTGAAAGCACATCTCATTTAGCCCCCAGGGAGAACAGAGGTTACTGCAGGCTCTTGCGAAGGAGTAGGGGCTGAGGCTTCACTAACCAGAATTGAGACCAATCTCAGAAGGTGGGCTGTTATCACACAGAGCTGAGGCTGGGAGTCAGCATCAGCTAACGCATGTGGGCTCCTGTCACTGCCCTGCCTGCTAGCAACGTTTTCATCTGACTAGCAATACCAGGCATGTATCTTCAGGGATTTTCGGGGTCCTATTATTTTAATATTTTCTTGTAAATACTAGCAGTCGTGCTGAGCTCATGCTCTACCACGGGGTGCTTTGTAAATGTCACTTCAAATGACACAGAAGGTTGCTGCCAGTCCCTGCTTGGGGGACTGAAGTTTGTGCAAAAACGATTGGCTTGTAACTCATTTATATAAGCCTCTGTTTATCTTTACTTGTGAAAAACCACTTTGGACCATCTGGCAAAGACACCTGCTTTGTGAAACTAATGAAATGTATTTGCTTTTTTTGTTGCAAAAATACATTTCCTGATGTCTGAATACCTGCTTGGCTGCAGAACAATACCCGCGCAATGTATTTTAATGAAGGAAGACTCTGTGTCTGAAGACTTCTTGGCTATTATGCACTGTCTAGATAACATATGTATAAATATACTATTTCAAACTATTAAAAAAAAGTTAGAGATGCTTCCTCCAGTAGATTTCCAAGACAAATTCCTCATCTTAGGTCTCAGCTTAATCCTTAGACTCAGCTTTGGTATCAGAAACCATTCATTAACACACCTGATACAAGGGTTTGATACACCCATCTTGTTTTGCTAGAATCATTTACCACCACCACCAATTTTCCATCTCAAAATAAAGTTTTATAACCTGAAGAGAACTTGCTGTCAGTGCAGATATTACAATGAAGTGCATTTATACAACCTCTTGGGATAAAAATAGCTTAGGGGCAGCTCTTGTTCCTCCTGTGCTAGGAATGCCTCAAAGAAGAAAGCTGCCAAGCTTCTTGAGGAAGGTTAACAGTGGAAAGTGAACTCATCTCCCTCAATACAAAGCCTCAGAAAAAGAAGCATTAGAAGTACAGTAACTCTATAAAATGTATTTTTAATCTTCCCACTGATGCTTATAAAAAGAACTGCAGAAAAACAAAAACTTCTCTTGGAGGGGATTAGTCTCTCTGTAGCTAGAGTAGTTCCATACAATAAATTCTTACCAGATTAACCATTTTGCTGACAACAGATATTAAACCAGAAAATTACTGTTTCAGGTAATGTTGATGGAGAAGAGGGGAGAAATGCTTTAGCAGGATGGCACTGCTTCTGGGTAGCATGGGCCTCATCAACAAGCACAAGCCATCCTGCCTGGCCCTGCTAGTACAGGCAGCAGCCACACAGCACCTGGTTTCCAGCCACACTATCTGATGACTGATTATTATAGGAGCATTCTCAGTTTACTCATAAACCTCTCCCATCTTGACTACAGATTTTTTGCTCCCCTTTAATACTCTTACAGCAATCATGTGGTCACAGGACAAGTCATCTGGGCTCACTTTTATTTAAGGGTCCTAATCCTACAGCAGAGCGTGTTTCTGTTCAGTTCTACAAGTGGGACCCAGAGGGCCTATCCAAGCTAATCTGTGCTAAACAAGCAGAGAAGAGCCATCACCACTAAGCTGCCTTTCTGGAATAAGAAACTTGGTTGTTACTTCTTTTTCTTCCTCTCACAATACCACACATGCATCATGGCTGAAGTGAGGCCGTGAGTTGGGGATTGTGTAAATACATACTCCTGTTGGAAAGTATTCTTTTGGTATACTACTTTAAAAAAAAATAATCAGAGGGAAGACATTAGCTTGATTAGGAGTAAAGGTTTTTAGGTGTGGGGACAATGCAAGTTAGTCTCATAGAATTTCTACTAGTCTTTTTTTAAAAAAAGGACAGCATACACAGCTTTGCTCCTGTCCTTTATGAGAAGTGGACTGGAAAACCCAAACACTATGTACCTAATTCTACAGCAACATATTAAAGATGTTTTGAAGAGTTTCTTTAAACAAGGTGCTTAAAGGGGATCTCCTCCCTGGCCAGCTGCTGAGCCAGCAGGGGGAGTGCCCACCTCATGTGTGGGGCTGTGCTGCTCGGAGGATACAGCAGCCCCTACAAAAACCTCCAGCACTGTATCAACCAGGGCCAGAACCCTGCTACCTACAGAAAAAAATTATTCATAGTCAACTGTAGTGTTTCAGTTCAGTTCTCCTTGGATTTCAGATTTTCACCATGTACTAGTTTAAGTACTTACTCAGTTTGAAAAGGCACTTGTCAGCAGTACAAACCACAAATGTAAGGGTGCATACCTTCCAGAGCAGCTCACACTCCCGCTCTTCCAAAGCCTTCTTATGCCTAGTAGTCACAACTTTGACTTCAGACTGTACCACCTTCGCTTTCATCTCAACCTGCTCTGCCACAGCCTGGGCCTGTTCGATACTCAGCTGTGGACAAAAAAAGACAAACACACTTAAGGCTCAACCAAACTAATTAAAAATGCATCAGAAGACTGCTGCTTACATTTCACTACACCTTCAAGTGAAGGCATAAAGTGACAACTCTTAGTTTCTTATCAGGCCTTCACCCATTTCATACATTGGAACATAAAGACTGACATGATTTTTTAAATACATAGTTATTTACAACTCAGATAGAGACCAAATTCTATTATAACCTTGCAATACTAGTATTTTAAAAACATTCTGTAGGAGAATTTTGCAAATACACATAATGCACCTGAAAGGAACATGTCTCTCTTCTCCTCTCAAATTAAGAACGGTTTTCCTTGAAAAATCATTCCCAAACTACTCCTGTTTCATAAAACATTACAGAAACTGGCATAAAATCAAATAGCAGGCAAATCTTCACATCATCTTTTTCTCATTTATTTGAGGAACTAGTCCATTTCAGAACTTGAGCTTGTTTCAGACTAGGTAGCCAGGTAATGCTCTAGCAAAAACAATTTTCAGAAATGCAGGTTTAGTAAAATGAGTTAAAAAATTTAACTTAAAGACTTTATTGTACCTTCAGGGCCTTATGGAAAATATCCTCATTTTAATTCTACATACGAGAATGTACCAATCTAAGAATCATCTTATGCAACAAGCTATGAACCACCCAATGTGATCCAGCATCAGACAGTACCTTTGTTACCTTTCACAGAATCGTTAGTATTTTTGAAGTCTGAGTTCAACAGCATCAAGTTTATGCCAACAAACTAAAACTTGGGAAAGCTAAACCATAAAAACTGTAAGTGTAATGCAACTTGGACAGTTTTATTCTGGGTATTTATTTTCAGACAACTAGTTTAAATCAGATGTATTCTTACAAGTCACGTAGAAGATCCTGTTCTGAAAGAAAAATACTAACTTGGCCAGGTGACTGGTCACTGGAAACAAGTTGAAGGCAACCCTGAGAAAATCAGACAAGACAACGCTTCTGATCTTTACTCCAAATAATTCTCTTGTTAACTGGCAGAGGAAAACAGGAGTGCTACTTGACAGCTACCTTCTCTTACTGAGCCCTGGGCTGCAGGGTCTTTCAGCTCTTCCTCCTCCATGCAATTCTGAGTCACTTTCCCTAGAGTTTTATCAGAGAAGGTCTTCAGACTCATGGACAGCCTATATATCCCAGTCCCACTAGAGGCAGACCTGAACCTGCCTTCTGACTGTTTCTGGCAGGCAAACTTGACTTAAAGTTGACAAAAAATAAAAATCTCATTACACATTTGGCAAATGAAGTCACAAATGGCCACAGATTCAGGCTTCATAAGGGCCAGTAAGTCTCAGACCTAGCTGGAAGAGTCCACATGTAAGAATACTGTGCCTTTATCATCTCTACTTTGCCATTCAAATACAGAACCTGCTTCTCCTGCAGGGAAAAGGTATGCATTTCTTCCAAAACAGACCTGGACTACCACCAAGTAGAGCAAAATCCCCTAATTCCCTTACAAAGAGAAAGATGTATCTCCCTGAGAAGAGTCAGGGAAACTATGTTATCCACTCATATTCCAATTCTAACAAGGATGTCTGTGAAAGCATGGAAGTCTGGGTTACTTATTTGTGCTTTGTGTACAGCAGTACCCATTAGGACCATGATCTGTGTATATGCTTCCCTCATACCTCACAGATTAGGAGCAATCCCAGCTTCCCTCGTGATTCTCCACTAAAACCAGAGTCCACCTTTCAAGAACTCCATCGTAGCAGGAGAGGTAGCAATTCTCTGTGGATGTTGCAATCTTTCAACTCTATGAACCAGTTATGGGTAGGACAAGTAGCTAAACTCAATAGCACAAGGCTGTCCAGAAACAATTCATGTCATCATCTGAATTTATTTTTATTTGCCCAAGGATGAACAGCTCAGATCAGTGAGAGATGCCCAAAACACTAAGACTCTAATACTGTCCAGCATATTAGTAAAGCTTTGGTAAAATTCAGATGATGCTGGACTCTGCCCAAATAGGCTAAAACAGCCTATGAAGGCTGACCAGCACCAAATCTGCAGAGGTATGGTGGGAGGGAACAGCAATAGACAAGTTATCTATATTTGAAGCAAAAGCCAAGAGCATTAAGTATAACTTTTGGGAGCCTTCCTTACATGGAAATCCCTTGTTTGCTTTGATTTCTGTAAGGTGCCAGAGTTCTGCCATGAAAACTCACTCCTGCTGTTCTGCAGGCATTTCCTGTGCGGAACTTGTCTGAGAGAGGTCAGCTTTTTAGGAAACATGTTAAGCAGCAGCGTTTCTTGTTCTGGTCAGATACCACAGAATCTTTTTAATACCTTCTTGTAAAGAAAAACACAGCTTTTATGATGCACTCTCCTCATGGTATGTCATGATTTTTCCAGCGCTAGTGAATAAGACGGTCAACCAGTTCACATGCTTGGGAGACAGAAGACAAGGCCTGTGTTTAGCCAAGAGTTGTGCTGGGTTATTGAATTTGAGATGGAGAACAACTGCTTTGTTTACTGCTGTTGGTCAATACAGTAAATGGCCTATTTGCAGCTCTGCCTATTCACTTGTGGCTTCTCAGGGTTCCAAAGACAGCCAATACCATTCCTTATTTTATTAGAGATGTCACCAGTGCCTCGTGTTTGTTAAAAACAAGTAAAAGACTTTGCTATGTATCTTGTTAACTTTAGGGTTGAAAATGGTACTTCTAATTCCTCAGAGTAAAATTTAAGTAGCAATAGTGTTTATGCAGGTGATACGTTCCAGAGGGCCACAACACAAGGGAACTTGGCACACAGAGCTTCCAGTGGAGCAGACAGAAATGTTCTCATGAAGGAAAGCAGTGCAGATATCCATCACCAGCTACTGCTACCAGCACATTTCAGTTTTGAGTAAAAGGTGAAGGGCAAAGTTCTGTTGGAACCCAGGTGTCCTCTGCAAGCTCCCTTTAGATGGGCACCTCTGTGAGATCCCCTTCATTTACATTTTACTGCCTGAGGCAAAAAGCAGTAGTGACCTTACTACAGTGACTCTGGCACAGTTACTGATGCTACAACACAAACCTATGAAGAAACCAACTGCAAGACTCAGAAGAAGCGAAGTAGCAATGTAAAACTTGCCTGCACTTCTGGATACCTGTCTGGGCTGGCCACCACAGAGGGGCCCAAATCAGGACTTGCCATCTTGCAGAATGGCAGTTTTCAGTCAGTTTCACACTTCCTGTCTGCTGTTGGACATTAGGAAATGGACCCTCAAGTCACAAAAAACTTCCTATAATTTCATGTTAACTTGAACGTTCCTGTGGAATATTTAGTGTTCTAGAAATATCACTGTTCCAAGTTTTCACTAATTCTTCTTTAAATTAAAAATTATGACCAGAAACATACAACACTTCAGGAGAAAGAAAAGCTATTACAAAGCTTGTGTTGTGACAGACTACAAACAAGAACCACAGAGTGACTGTAAGGGTGCTGATGCTCTCACTGGACAGCTTCCACTGTCCAATACTCAAATTAAATCAGTACGTCCACAGTTATGTCCACACAGCACACAATTATTTGAAGAGGCTAACTCAGGTCTCTGAAGCAGCAGAGCCCGTTAATCCAGATGCTGAGCCATGATGATGGATTACATCAATTCAGTTCTGAAAATTATCCAGTTGAACAAACTGCAGCACAGCGTTCCACTGTGCCAGCACCATGAGACACGTAAAGGCTGCTTATGGCAACCATCGCAAGGCTGGCTCGCATGAACATTGTTGAAGAGGTCCCTAGGACTTTTTTATTCCATCCATCTGGAGATGAGAAGGATGCATAATTTCTCAGGCATTAATTCCTATATTTAAGGTTCCCAATTTTAAGTTTTCCAATGAAGGTGCAAATCCCTGGAGAGAAAATTCAAACTTAAAAGCAAATTTTGTTTTCTTCTGAGGAATTCTTCAGTATTTCAGGGGTGAATGGACCACAGGTATTGGCTAAAGAATCTTAACTATACACTTCCCTACATCAGTAGGGAGGATTTACACTTTAAACACTAAAGAATTTAATACTAAGTTATCCCTGCTTAAGGGGGGGAAAAAAGCTGAGATGCCTATTAATTAACAAACAAACTCCTCTCTGGCTTTTAAAAATACATTAAATAATAGTAAATATAAAAACAAAAAAAAACCAGAAAACAAAACAGAAAACCAAATGACTCAAGGAAACCTTTGGTATGTCTCAAGTAACCCCTCTTCCACCAAATGGAAGGTGTTCCAGTCATAAATGGTTTGTTTTCAGTTCCTTAAGGTAACAAAAAGATACAGTGAGCTTGTTTCACTAAGTTTCCCCTTACTTATCAACTTCAGAGCAGGATAAAACAACCAGGACATAACAGCAGTCTTTCCCCAGCATCAAGAACTGGATATAAATTTCCTAATGCTCTTATACTAGAAAAATTAAAGTGGAAGACCCTGTAGAGTATAGTTACAGTAAAGACACTAGTATTAACAAGCTTAGCAGGGAATTTGCAGTAATATTGGTGCAGATATAGCACAAATCACAGTAGCTGGACCAATTTAGATGTTTCAGTCTACTAAGTACAAAGCACTAAAACATTCTTAAAGTTCCCCACAATTTTAAAAGAAGCTTTGATGGAGGGAGGGCTAGAGGCCAGGCTAATTTACATCAGGTACCACTAAATAATCATTTTGGTTTGTACTGCAAGAACAGACTTTTTGCCTACACAGTTTTAGGCAGAACAGTAGTTTGGACAGTGTAACACGTCAAATCCACCTTCCCCAATAACCATCTGCTCATATGCTGCACTAAAGGAACTCATTGAAACACAACACAAAACAATAACTAGAAGTACGAAGAATTTCAGCCCCTATTGACAAAAATCCCAGATTTAGAAGAGCACAATTGACTCCATTTTGTTTACAAAGCTTCATTTCAGATTCTCAAACCCGCAAGCCTCACTTCAAAGCCACACACAAGGGGGCCTGAGCTAACTCAAAGTGACAACCCAAAAACGATCCCTTGCAGCACAGCGGTGCCATCCTTCTCAGGTATCGACCTCCCAGCAGCACAAATCCATATGGCAACCCACAGGGAAGCTTCCACTGAAGGGCAGAGGCTCAAGGCAACAGATCAGCTTCCTCCTCTGGCTGGCTAAGTTTTCTTACAGTGTCCCCTCGCCCCCCATAAAGGCGTTAATCTATTTCATACCACCTCCCTCCTCCACAGTTTGGGAGGGAAGAGGCATTGCCTTAATGTCTGACCTGCCTTACCACCCGCTCCTGAGTTTTTCATGACGGTAGATAAGAGAGTAGCTCCCACTACGTTCTGCACATGACCAGTCTCAGTGGTCAGTCAGAAGCTTGCACTGTCAAACATCCCAGCAAAACCAATTACGGGCTCAGCTATAAAGGAATTCGTTTGTTTTCCAACAAAACCACTTTTAAGACAACCGAGACGAATGAATCAAATCGTATTTTATCATGTTCACCTGGAAAATTAACCCTAAACGGGAGCGAGCACTCAGTGCTTTACTGTTACGCAAGTGCATTAGATTACACGCATACATACATACATATATACAGTTACACACGTATAGATGTATTTTAAGAACGTGACATTTTGAAGAAGCCATCTATCTTTCATCATAACAGATTTACGTTCAGTTTGTGACCTAGTCCTCGGAAAAAAATCTGAAAGAAGACAGCTAAGTGTGCACTTTCGTGAGGTAAAACAAGGCAGCGGGACATGCTCCCCATATAGAAAGGCAGCAAGCAGTCCTGATTCCTCCCACCTCATTAATCCAGTGTCAGCTTTGGCTTTCATATCATCCTATGAATCCATCTGAGTCTCTGAAAAGGCTGGAAAAGTATCCCAGCAAGGAGGATAGCTTTCCACTGAGATAAGAAGAGGTCCTACAGGCAACTGAGTTGGGTGTTTCTGCTTCATTCCCTGGCACCATCAACAGTCCTGGCAGCACTGCAGTGAACCAGCCAGGAGGCTGACCCAGCCAAAAATTAATCCCACAGAAAGGTTACCCATTCAGCTGGATCAGCTCACCACACAGGCACACAACCACAAGTTCTTGTGTTAGGGACAGGCTCAGAAATGCACGATTCTGACCATCGTGGCACAGGGAAGCAGGAAAGGCTTTCCGTTGCTACAGAATTTCACTGAGGAAAAAAAAAAAAAGCAAGCCTCTTGCTGTCAAGCCTTACCATTTCTTACAGAGGACTTCAACTCCTTTGAAAAGTGAGGTTTGGACTTTTCTGGAGTGACAGACTACATCAGGCTTCAGTGGATCAAGAGGCTGAAACATATCCCAACTCACAGCAATTTTTTAAGTCTGAAAAACAATCTTTCCTCCAAAGCCACAGGAAGAGTTTAAATAAACATTTCTTCCTAAAAGCCTTCAACTTTGGTTAACCAGATACTCTCCAGCCAGTTGACTCATGGCTTGATTTCCTCTCTCCTGTAACGCCCTTCAAATTCCACCTTTTCCCCTTTACTCTCAACTACCCCTCCTCATCCATCCTCAGCATCTCATGTCAGGGGAGCTATCACTTTCAGAGCCTATTAAGCATTTCTAGTACAGCATTATGAATCAGTCAAACTAAGAAGTGTTACTACAACCTATTACTTTTCAAGCCTCTTAGAGCTCCAGTCTATGTTCCTCATATTACAGCCTGTACTGGCATTTAATTCTCTGTTGACTATTTCCATACTTAAAGAAAACCACACAAGCCAATTTCTTTTAATTTAGAGTCTAGTTAACTTTCGAGTTTGTTTTAAATTCATGTTGACATGCTGTCTTCCTCCCTAGGATAAACTTAGAGCTTCACAACCCTATTGTCCCAACAAGGAAAGCTCTGCTTTATGTAAACTTGATGCAATTTCATTGCATCAACCCTTTGAAATGGGCACCTCTGATTTTAAGTCACACACTCTTCTAGTTGCTGCTAATGTTGCTTCAGCAGTAGCTGTCTTAGAACTGAACAATCTTACCATTTGTGCATATGTACACACGGATTACCAACCCCTCAAATTTATAGTGATCTGTTTGCTGACCACCCTAATGATCCAGATTAAAAAGCCCACTAAACTAATAAAACAACTCACCTCTAGAAAACATGGTTCATTTTACAGATCTTTACACAAGCTGACCACTTTAACACTTCCAAGATAGCCTCGTTACCTGGATAGGCTGTAGTGAGATTGGGGCAAAACTGTACAAACTAAAGTTCAGTAGAACCGCTTGTTTGAGTTGCATGAACATAACCAGCACCACCCACCTTTTATCTGCTCCATCATACAATAATCAGCTCACCACAATAGCAGGAGCCTCCACCATAAAAGCCAGAAGAAAACGGGGAAGGACTGAGCAAAGTAAACTCAGCAGGAAGGAAATCAGGCACAAGAACATTCATGCAACACTAGCAGAGTGGTACTCAATGCTATCCCTGCTGGTTTTTACTCCAAGGTGCAGTCCCTTCTTCAATGATTTAGCCACACCCGATAGATAATTAAGAGCCCTGGAGGTCAAAAGCAATAATTTAATTACTAACAGACAATCCCTTGTCTAGGACAGCCTGGAGAAATTCAGAACACTGCACCACTGCACTGAACACTGATGGTCCCTAGACTAGGATAATCCCTTCCTTCTTGCTCATTTTGGGGACATGTGAAATGGTTCAGTATGGATACTGCTGGCGAGCCTTGTGATTCAGATTAAGACAAATCTTGGAAGAAACTAAGTTTTGCAGGACTCTGCCTCAAGGTAGTTTTAAATTAACCACCCACCTGCAAAAACTTGGTGTTTACTGTTCTATTGTAACAAGTTTACATTGAAAGCTAAAGGGAGACACTAGCAACTGTTTACTATCTATACCATCAAGTATTATTTCATTCCACAGAGGTGAAGGTTAATGAGCAAAGGGTTAGCTGCTCCTGTCCCATGGAACAAGTCTACTTCCCTCATCTACTAGAAAGCAGCAACGGGTAGAGTGAGCTTTGGCCTATTTTAATTGTTTATACCCTGCATGTGCCAGGAAAGCACACCTAATTCAGAAAGTTAGTCTACTTCCTATCAATAACATTCTGCAAATGTTTACTCAAAAAAAAATCTTATTAGTTAAAGCACATAGAACTGTTGAGTTTTGTCATACCCAGCTCAAGTTTAGAACAGGAGGTTCACAAAACTACAAGGCAGTAGGTATGAAGTTTCCCGCTACGCTTTCCAGATCCAAAGTCTATCTATACAAACAAAATTACTGCTAATATCATAGTATTTACTGCCAGGCATTACCCAGCGAGAGTAAGTATCTACATGCCACTGCACTTTAATTCCCTGTGTAATTTCTTTTCTAATTTGAAGCACTGTACTACCTTCATTCCAGATATTTATATTTGCATTATTAAACATAGCTGAGGTCGAACAGAATAATAGGCATAGTATGCAGGGTAATCTTTGAACGGAGACAGCTCTAGATGCTCTCTGCACAGGCAAGTTAGAAATTTCACACTAATTCAACAGCTGATTATTATTTTGTATTTGGTGGCAACACTGAAGAAATAACCAGAGTCAAAGGCAGGTAGAGTGCTAGATGCTGTACAGGCAGGAAAGATGCTGAAGTCTTAGTGATAAAAACAAAACCAGGTTTGGCACCGCTATACAAGATCAGAGCTTTTCTTCAAAATGCTTCACGCCCAAGAGCATTTGTACAGAGTTTCATATATATTGTGATTTACATGACAGGATTATGCTGCAAGAATGCAAAACTCATAACAGCACTTTATTTTCAGCTCCACCACCACTTCTGTCAGAGATCTGAGAAAACAGAAGGGGTGAGAAGACTGACAGCAGAAGCAGAGAGCTTTTTGCCTTGACACCTTGCCCTGTAACAGACATGCTGGGGGGGTTGGAGAGAGAAGGAGGAGGGGGAAATGAAGTACTCAAGTTGAGAGTATCTTACTTGAATAGCCTGTCGTCCTTGCTGAGCATCTGCCAGGAGCTGAATGGTGAGAGTCCTGGAATCCTGTAGGGCATCTTGGAGGTAGATAAAGCTGTGACCCACATGTCGTCCCATGGTACATTCACGACATATGGGGACAGAACAGGTATCACAGTAGAAATGCAGTACCTGTAAGGAGAAAAAAAGAAATCTGTATCATTATTTAATGAAGAATTAATATGAAAACAGAGTCAGAATGTAAAAAAAAAATCCAAAAAAGTCAACTATAAAGGAGATGGTTAGAGGCAGTAGCAATAGGCAAAGACCTCACAATAGTTTCTCCATAGAGGAAGAGCTATCCTTCCCAGTAAATTCCAAATCATACCCTAACAGTTAGATGGAAGTATCCTTGTTTTCTTTGCAATACAATAGTAGGAAGAGTGTCCACAACAGCTCCTCTTAAGAGCGGAAGCCATCTGCCAACACTTGCAGATTGGAGATGCCATCTAAGGCAAGTTTCAGGTGAAGACTTTTCCTGCATAAACAAACACCACATTCTCTTCAGTGGGTCATTCAATAATCAATACACTGGAGAACCACAGCACCAGCACTCCCACTCCACAAGAAAGAGAAAACAAAACCATGCATGTGGAGAAACACCCTTTATGTTTTCAAAATATGTAAATCCCTTACGGTCAGGGCAGTGACAGTCTTAGGCAAAACTGCCCCCCCCCCCCAATAGCAAAGCAAAAAACCTTTGTTATGATGGTGTTTCTATGCTACTGATGCTTCAACAAGCTCCAGCTGGAAGATACTGGCATGTCCATCATTTGAATGCTACAGTGAACTGTGGGCAACCACTAACACCATATTCTCTCCACAAAGCACTTACAAACCCTACAGTCAAATCCCAATGAAAGTCTTACACCAAGATGTTAGCCTAGAAAGCTGGATTCATTAATCAGCTGTAACTGTTTCCATTCCATCCAGTAGAGGGAAGTAGCACACAGAATTAGCATCTTCCATGGACGTGTATTTTCTTACAGGGGAGCAGAAACCAGCTGTATTGTTTTTTGTTTTCAAAGATGCAAATAAAGGAGTACAACACTTCAACACAAGAAAGTTCTGCATTGAGGTCTTGCCCTTAACTACGTACACTACTTTTCTTAACAGTTTAACGTTAAAAAATTTATATTACCTGGAAGGGTACAATGGTACAAGGTTTTGTTCTATGAACAACTTTTCCATCACCAGATATTTCAAGTCTACCTCACAGAAAGGAGCAAGGGCAGAACAAAGATTGGACATGTGTTTTACATGCCTGTCTTCTCCCAGCTGTCACCCAGCCACTCCCAATTCCAGCTAGCAGCTTGTGATACGGTGCATAACATCCCCCTTTCCCTGCTCCCTCAAAAGGAAGGGGAAGGACAGGACAGGTGATTCCCTTGGACTGCCTGTGCTGCATACAGTGACATTTTACGCTCCTGTAAGTGCAACAGCTGAAGTGGTATGTGGATTAATTACTCAAAGAGTTATGTGTGCATTTGTGCACATGTCAGATTTTACTAAAACCCCTTGTTTTTCCTAAAGTGAAGTTTCACTGTAGGGAAACTGAACAGACTTATGTTTTGCTTCTGTTCACATACTAAATCCTCAAGCAGTAAGTATCTCAGAATCTCTGATTTTACCAAGTAAAAAGCTGCCTTGGCTCCAAAATACATTGTTCAAATGCATCATCTTCCTCAGCTAGAGGCCTCCTTGTCTTTATGCTGCAGTTGTCTAAATCTGTATACGATGTTCACTTGCACATGCAGTTCCGTAATGTTTCTGTTGAAATTACAGGGAATGTTTATTACATATTCCTGAATAACACCACTTAGACAACTGAGAATTTGAAGGAGAATGAAAACCAAGACAGGGTATCAAGTTTAGTCATATGAATCTGATATACTTTAAAAACATACAGCAGGGATTTGGGGCCTCAGTCAAGCAGAGCAGCTGAAAGGAAAATGGTGACCATATGAATAGAAGACCAGAAGCAAGTCAAATTTATTATTAGTCCTCCACAACAGTCAATACCAGAAGCAAAAGCTTGGTCACTCCTGCTACTCAGGCACTCCTGCTGAAAGCTAACAGCATCCACAGGGACAAAGAAAAATCAAGTTTAAGCTGTTCATTTGCCTCTTGCCACCTACTAAAATGTGGTGGGAAACATCACTCTTAAATTTAGAATGAAGAGTGACAAGAGCCATAATCTCATTTCAGAAATATGTAGATTACATAGGACATGACAGCGGAAGGTCTTGGGCAAATACTACAGAGCCGTTGATAAAGCCTCATATTTGTTTCTTGGTAAAACAAAAACAGCAAAAACAACCTAGATTTAATCTAAGAGCAAAAGAGTTAACAGGCTTGGGCAAAAAGAAGCATTCGGTGATGGACAGACCTCCATGATTACACTGTTACCTTAAACACACACAGGAGAAAGCACAAATGCATTACCCCTACTGCTCTCAGTGGGGTAGGGAGCTAGCCACCAGAAGAGAACTGCAAGAGTCAGCCAGCTTCAAGAGGAACTAGCAACTCCCCAGAAACTCCTTTGTTCACACAAAGACTACAACAGAGTCCCCAAACTTGGCAAGAGGTACAAGGGGCAACTCTCCTCCTGTGGTCAGTACCACGTACTTTTCAGGAGCATCCAACAAGACTGTACATCAGCTCGAGTCAGCAAAGGGAGGACACACCCAAAGAATAAAACTGGTAAGTCCCCAGATGTGCAGGACACAACAGGGAGGGGGATTTGTGCCAGTTGGGCTAAGGGGCTTGGGCACAGCATCCAGCTTGCCTGCACTTCCAACCACAACCAGGCATTTATTGTTAAGCTCAAGCCTGCTCACATCCCAGTCCCTAGGTCATGGCCACAAAGGTCACATACTGCTAGATTAAGTTTCTGTGCCTGTTTCTAAATGAGGGGGGGGGAAGGGAAGAGGGAAGAGAGGAAGCCAGATCTCCCCCTTTGCCCCCACCCACCAAACAAGCAACTCCCTGTAAAAAAATCATACCAACAATATATGTAGGGCAATCCACAAATGTGTTCTCAGCTCAGATCTGATGCACGTACAGCGTACCTAAAATGTTGGCAGAGTTTCCCCTTCTTCCAATTTCAGCAATGTGAGAAGGCCACCCCACATTTCATTTGCACTGTTTCTATAGCATCATACTGCTCTTCCTATGCTCATTGTAAGGCAAACAACAGGAATCATATTTAAGTGTGGATAGGCAGGAATAGTAGGAAGAAATGAAAAAGTAATTTTAAGCCTTCCTTAGCAGACATCAACTTATAATACTCAGCTTTAAATAGGAAAAAAAAAATCCTTCAACACCCTAAAAAAAACCCAAAAACCAACAAAACCAACAAACAAACAAAAAACACAACACCCCAAAAAAATATTCAGAAAAGACAAACAAACAAACCCCACATAACAGTACTTCAGAGGAAAGTCCTGTAAGGTCCCTCCTCCACATCTGAAGAGGTAAAGACGATACAAACCAAGAAGATCCATCAAGCTGTAAATTTACTATTGTCCTGGTAGTTTCACTATTTACCCAAACGAATGGAAAACTGGTTTATAAGCAAACACCTTCAAACATGCTTGTTTTTCCAAACCACACAAATGTTCTGATGGGCAGCAAAGAAAGAAAGGAGAAAGCAGAGACAGATTTCTCCTTTCAAAGAAATGAACAGTGTAAACTGCATTTCATGAATTCTTTCTTTCTGTAGTATTATTAAGTAATTAAGTAAAAATACAATTAAGATAAAAATTGCTGCCCTTCCAACACCCATTTTGTTAATTATCCAGTAAGGGGAAGAAGATTAATAAGCAAGCTTCATAGCTTTTTTTTAAACTGCTCCACTACATTAATTAGTATTTTAGAATTTCCAACAGAATTAAATGAAGACAGAAGTCAGAAGGAAGAGGGGACTAGTTTTAGAGATAGTTAAAAGTGATTTATTTTAAAATAAATCAGCTATAAGTTGATTACTTCCCAAACAGGAAATATTTCCTGAATTGGTGGCATACAATTTTAGACACAAAACAATAAAGGGAGCCTACTTCAATTTAAACAGAATCAGTGAACCATGTTACAGGGCTATTCATCTTTTACAGCCACAGCAGCCCAAGAAATACAACAGCAAGGCCATAAATGTGATTGCTTCAGGAAAGGCTGTACAGTGCACCGTAAAAACATTTTACAACAGCAGGAATTCCTGGGTGTCGCTCTCCCCATTTTTTGGTCCATCTGCTTTCAAAGGGGGCAGGGGGATGGGCGGAGATGTTGTTAAACGTCCCCCGGGACTGCACAGCAATCAATCATCATCTGATGAATGGCCACTAAAGTTAAACCCTGACCCCACTCCACAATTCCCACACCAGCCCTTCTCTCCTCACTGCTGACCAGCTTCCAGCATGCCCCCCCACCTTCCAGCCCTCACCAAAATTTCCCAAATACCAAGCCCAGACAAAAGCAATGGAATGTAGTAGGCACCATGACAGAGGAGAATTCAGTAGAAACAGCATCTGAGGAGGCTTATCCTTAACCTGTGTTTAAATAAGTGTTCTTTCAGCAATACTCACAGTGCCCTTCTCTTCCCAGCTTGAAAACACTTAATTTCTCTCATTTTCAGAGCACGCATGCAAGCAATTGACAGCAAAGCATGGGGAATCTAGTCACGTTTAAAAACATTTGTTTCTGTCATGACTTTTCAGTGCCTTGCAAGGATTTTATTTAAGCCTACAGTGTTAAAGAATGTGTGTAAGGCAACAACACATAAAAGGTCGTATTACTTTTAAAACGCAAGTCTGATGCTCTAAAAAGCTACCCTGTAATCTTAATCAACAATTAAAAAAAAGCCTACAGACAAAACAGCGGCCTCTTGGTTTCTACTTTTGGAAAAGTTTCAGTACGCCCCCCTCCCAAAAGAAGTCATACTTACCATAGTTAGTTTAAAGTTTTCCATTACTAAAGGTGTTTTATTATCAAGTTCCCTTGACAGTAACTCAAACACCAGTGGCTTTGTTAGGTAGCATGTAAGGCTTAGATGACTGAGTTTAGTATAAAGTAGTTTCCCAATGAATTTTGGTCCTACTTCCTCAGCACTATTGGGTGGTTTTTTGTTTCTCTCCCTG